ATAATGGGGGATGATGGATGTTGGATGGATGGAGGGGATTAGAAGGGATGGAGGGAGGGAGGGATGGATGAATGGATGGATGGATGTTGGATGGATGGATGGATGTTGGATGGATGGATGGATGGATGATGGATGGATGTTGGATGGATGGATGATGGATGGATGAATAATTGATGGATTGATGATGGATGGATGTTGGATGGATGGATGGATGAATGGATGTTGGATGGATGGATGGATGTTGGATGGATGGATGAATGGATGTTGGATAAATGGATGATGGATGGATGGATGGATGATTGATGGATGGATGTTGGATGGATGGATGGATGGATGATGGATGGATGATGGACGGAGGATGGATGGATGAATGGATGGATGGATGATGGATGGATGGATGATGGACGGAGGATGGATGGATGAATGGATGTTGGATGGATGGATGGATGTTGGATGGATGGATGGATGAATGGATGGATGGATGGATGAATGGATGGATGAATGGATGTTGGATAAATGGATGATGGATGGATGGATGATGGATGGATGAATGATGGATGGATGAATGGATGGATGTTGGATGGATGGATGAATGGATGGATGTTGGATGGATGGATGAATGGATGGATGAATGGATGTTGGATGGATGGATGGATGGATGTTGGATGGATGGATGGATGAATAATTGATGGATTGATGGATGGATGGCTGATGGATGGATGGCTGATGGATGGATGGCTGGATGAATGTATGTTGGATGAATGGATGGATGGATGAATGGATGGATGAATAGATGTTGGATAAATGGATGATGGATGGATGGATGTTGGATGGATGGATGAATGGATGTTGGATGGATGGATGAATGGATGTTGGATAGATGGATGGATGGATGTTGGATGGATGGATGAATGGATGATGGATGGATGGATGAATGGATGTTGGATGGATGGATGTTGGATGGATGGATGAATGGATGATGGATGGATGGAGGATGGATGATGGATGGATGGATGGATGGATGGATGAATAGATGTTGGATAAATGTATGATGGATGATGGATGTTGGATGGATGGATGAATGGATGTTGGATGGATGGATGAATGGATGTTGGATGGATGGATGAATGGATGTTGGATGGATGTTGGATGGATGGATGATGGATGGATGAATGGATGTTGGATGGATGGATGAAGGGATGTTTGATGGATGTTGGATGGATGGATGGATGATGGATGGATGGAGGATGATGATGGATGGATGGATGGGTGGAGGATGATGGATGGATGGATGTTGGATGGATGGATGGATGAATGGATGTTGGATGGATGGATGATGGATGGATGGATGATGGATGGATGAATGGATGTTGGATGGATGGAGGATGGATGGATGAATGATGGATGGATGAATGGATGTTGGATGGATGGAGGATGATGGATGGGTGGATGGATGATGGATGGATGGATGATGGATGGATGATGGATGGATGATGGATGGATGGATCGATGATGGATGGATGAATGGATGTTGGATGGATGGATGATGGATGGATGGATGATGGATGGATGAATGGATGTTGGATGGATGGAGGATGATGGATGGATGAATGGATGTTGGATGGATGGAGGATGATGGATGGATGATGGATGGATGATGGATGGATGGATCGATGATGGATGGATGAATGGATGTTGGATGGATGGATGATGGATGGATGGATGATGGATGGATGAATGGATGTTGGATGGATGGAGGATGATGGATGGGTGGGTGGATGGATGCAGGATGATGGATGGATGAATGGATGTTGGATGGATGGAGGATGATGGATGGATGGATGGAGGATGATGGATGGATGGATGTTGGATGGATGGAGGATGATGGATGGATGGATGTTGGATGGATGGATAAATGGATGGATGAATGGATTGATGTTGGACGGGTGTTTTCCTTTTATTGAACATTAATTCTAAATCTGATCTTTCCCGTTTTTAAATCGTTCCGGAACCTCCTGGACTTTCATATTTCCCTCTAACATTGAACCAAGTTTGGACCCGAATGTTTCCAGAAGAATAAAATCTTAAAGTTCTGGTAAATCTGTCGTTCAGGGATGGAGGATCTGAGCTTCACAGCCTGAAGCTCTAGAAACGTTCAAACCTTCTCGGCGGCACACAGATGAGATTCTAATCCATGTGGGACCTTTGGACCCGCCTCATCATGGAGACGAGTTAAACGTGTTCCGACCTGCAGAGCCTACCTGTTCTGAAGGGGATGCTTGATGTAGGCCTCTGGGCTCACAACCTCCTTTCCAGTCTCCTGGGCTCCATCTTGGTCAGCGTGGGGAGGACTAGGGTTGCTTTCCTGAACAAAACACACGGAGAAGCAGAGAAGGAATGAAGCCATCTACAGAAATTATTTCACACTTTTAGATGGTCCAGACCGAGTGAAACCAAGTACTAGTCTGTTCCTGTCGCCTTACATAAACCTGCTAAACCGAGCCTTAAAATAACATTATTAAAGTTTTCCAAAGCCTTAGAAATCTAGAGGAATAATAAAACAAAAACAAATCTATAATCAAACCTTCTTTAGTAAAGACTACTGTCAGACAGAGAACCAGCAGGTGAGTTATAAGCTTCCTTTGGGCTCTGAGGTAAAGACAGATCTATGAGGCATTAGTGAAGAGAAAAAAATTAATAAATAATTTTTTTTTAGATGTTTATCTTCTAATAATCCTAGCAGTAACTGTTATAGTGGCAGCTAACAAATAAGTAGACCAACAAATTGAATGCTGCCATAGTGGCCGTCTTTAACGATTTATATCCATGAACAATATTATAAGTATTATATAGTGTAATGGGAAAACAAACGAACAGACGAATGGTCCACTCCTTTGGAATGGGGGTCGTTTGGCTTCTTTGTTAGCCTGCAATGCCCCATACCTGTCTATGCCTCTGAAAGGGGGGTCATTAGAGGGAATGGACTTTTGTTCAACTCTAAAGAGGTTGTTCTTTTTTTTTTTACTTTGTTGTGTTGTTTTACAGAGCAGAGAAAAGACAGAGCTTGATGTGATCAGACATTATTTCCATAGGGTCAGCAGTCATGCCAGAGATTTTTTTATTTTGAGAATAAAGTTGTAATATTAAAAGAATGAAGTCATCATTCAACAGAAAGAAAGCTTGGAGCTCCACCCAGCAGATGACGGCCGACCAGCTCCACCAATCAGCAACCAGAGTCCACTTTGACATCCTGCACAGTTTGATGCTGCTGCTAAAAGATTTCCTGATTTGTCAAACCGATGCTAAAGTAGACCTTCACATGATGCTCCACATTCCTCATTTTAGGGAAGAAAAGGCTTCTTGTAGGAGTTGTCATAAAATACAACTTTACAACATAATGTTACGACTTTATTCTCGTAATGTCATGACTACTCTAGTATCAAATGTATTCTTCTAATTTTACGTCTATCTCGTTGCAACTTTGTTCTCATAATTTTCCAAATTTATTCGCTTAATTTTAACTTTATTCTCGTAATTTTATGACTATTCTCCGACTCTTTTCTCGTGATTTTCCGACTTTATTCTCGTAATATTACGACTTTACTGTTGTAATTTTATAACTTTTTTCTCGTGATTTTACGACTTTGTTCTCGTAATTTTGACTATTCTCCGACTTTTTTCTCACGATTTTACAACTTTATTCTCATGATTTTACGACTTTATTCATGTAATATTACGACTTTATTCTCGTAATTTTGCGACTTTATTCTCGTAATTTTGCGACTTTATTCTCGTAATATTGCGACTTTATTCACGTAATTTTACGACTTTATTCACGTAACATTACAACTTTAGTCACGTAGTACTACGACTTTATTCTCGTAATTTTACAACTTTATCCTCGTAATTTTACGACTTTATTCACGTAATATTACGACTTTATTCACGTAATACTACGACTTTATTCTCGTAATTTTACAACTTTATTCACATAATTTTATTATTTTAATTTTAAGGCTTTATTCACATAATTCTATAACTTTATTATTGTAATTCTATGAGTATTCTCGGGACTTTATTCTCGTAATTTTAGGACGTTATTCTCGTAATATGAAGAAAACCTCTCTGCTGGCCCCAGTCGTTCATTTATTATCAGCTTTCAGAGGAAAATGTTGGAACAAATGTTTGGAACAGAAACTTGTCGGTTGAAGGAGCCTGATTGGCTGATGGAGCATCCAGAGGTCAGCTGGGAGCAGCGCAGGCCAGCTGGGACAGCATTTTAACGGCTTTCAGTTACCATCAGCCTCCCGTAGAGCCGTTGTGAGCTGGAGGCGAAGGTGTGGGAAGGATCTCCTGCTGTCGCTCAAAGTTGGGAGATCTACACATTCCTCCTTAGAGCCCAGCAGCTCGCAGCAGCGACAGCCGCTTTAAAACTCACCTAACAGCGGATGTAAACAAAGCAACTTCCCTTCGACCGCAAGGAAACGCTTTTTAAAGCATCGGGTCACGACTGGGTCCGAATTTAAAGCTCTAATTTAGACGTGAAGTTCTTCCATATGTTCAGAAACGTTCTCCTCAGAGAATTACTCACCGGTTCGGCGGTAGCCATCTTACAAATCTCTGTTAGGAAATTTAACGCTGATTGGTCCGTTTTGGGACACGTGACCAGGGTGCCGCTGATTGGCTGCCGATGGGTCACTCCGCCCTCTTCTCCCCTGTCCTGCAAACGGAGGCATGGCGAGCACGGAGAACAGGAGGGAGTGTGAGACTGAAGGCTGCAACAAGGACGCCAAACTTCAGTGTCCGACATGCATCAAGCTCGGGATCCAAGGCTCATACTTCTGCTCGCAGGTACGGCTGCTTCCCCCGCCTTTCCCCCCGGCCTGAAGGCAGCTAGCCGCGGCCGCAGAGCCGGCTAGGCCCGCGTCAATTCACGCGGCTGCTAACTCAGCTGATAGGCTGCTAATGGGGCTCCTAGCTGCTTCTTTAGCCGAGAAGAAACATTTCTGAGTTTATCTGAGCTGTCGGTTAAGTTCAGTCTGGAAACAACTGAAAAGTTCCAGATAGCAGTTAAATTAGTTTTTCTTTATTTTTCTAAGGTCGAGAAGAAACGTTTAGCTAGCTAAGTGCTGTCAGGCTACAAGCAGTGAAGAAGCTAAAATAAGAAAAGCTCTTTAATAAACCAGCAGGGTCACATTACATATTAAACAAACATGTCATGTAAAAACATCTCGAAGCTTTAAGCAGCTTAGTCAGCTAAAATGCTGTAAAAACAAGTCTGATCATTTGATGCTATGATGGTGGACCACCCCGGATCAGCTCCTCATGTTCATTACAGTTTAGCTCGATTATTAATGCAGATAATCACCAAATCACTTCCTTTGAATCCTGGTGATCAGCTGAACATTTGGTGCTTTGCTCGGTATTCTTTATCAGAGCCAAACATGAACAGATTACAGGCCTAAAACTCATGATTGTTGCTTATTTCAAAAAGGACTGAAGCTCCTATGGGTGAACATTAGTTTCCAAAAGTCTTTTAATTCAATAAAAGAGAATATTAACAGGAGGAAAGGGGTGGAAAAGTTTTGGTAAATGTGGTATTTTCACACCACAAGAAAACAACTGCCTATAAACAAGAATAATTTACCCTCTGATATATGAATAATACTAGTGATGGTGAGATGAAGCCTCATGAGGCATTGAACCGTTTGGTCAAATTGCTTCAACGATCCCCACAGTTCATGAGGCTTAATGTGAACATGTCACCACCTACTGGTGGAGTGCAGAACTACAGTTTGTAATAAAATCTGTGATTATTATTTTTTTTGCAATTGTTTTTCTTTTTTTTTCGCCTTTTAAGTTCCCTTGAAATTATTAATGGTTGGTGTGTATAATAAAATCTTTTAGTGTAAAATTTCTTAGAACAATCATTTAAGGTTCACAGTTTTTCTGCCATTTTAGTGAAATAAACTCAAGCAGACAGTGAAAGTGTTAGGGCAAATTGGGCAATGATGAGCAAAATGAAAGGTGTTAGTCATTTTTATTCAAACATGATAGTTTTTTCACGTTTTTTGGTTTTAATCAGGTTGGAAGTTGTGTTCAACCAATCTTTTGGCTAAACCGACCTAATTTACCCAATCTATATTTTTACTCGGGCAAAACAATGCATTTTAGTCTCATCAGCCAAAACACTCAAGAAAATACTTAACACTGACGTGTTAACGCAGGCTTTGTCTGGTGGTTTGCTCTAATTTTGATCATTACATTGTTTATTCAAACCAGATTAGCTTTAGGCAACTAGATTGGTTGGAAAAACAACCAATCTATTCTTAGAATCTATCCAAACTTTATCCAGCTGACAGCAGCTCTCCTCCAAACTCCCACATCTTGACTGAAGACTGAGGCTGTTTAGATGCCTGTCAAAATTCTTGCGCTTCCTGAACCACTTACCGAAGCGGTCACGTGGTATCACTGTAGCGAGGCCTCGGACGTCATCAATTTTGGCCGCTCATCTAAATGAATCACGCCACGACACGCGCTTCGGGGAAACGCCCCCTCCATTACTCAACACACGCCTCGAAGCCTCGGATCATCTCATAACATCACTAAATAATACTGTGTCTGGATTTAATATTAGTCTTTAGCAGGGTTCGAATAAAGATCATCACCAGCCAATAAAGGTCTGGAGACATTTTTAATTATAATCTGTTACTTTAAACAGAATTTAACACTGAAATAAAATGCAGGTTTTTAGGCATCAATGTTATACATTGATTTTTTTTAAATACAAAAAAAGTAGAAAATTTTTCCTTTTTAAAATCTAAATCATTCAGTTTGGTATATAGACAATTTACAAATTCATATTTTATAAAACACCTGAACCGATGGATGGTATTTTTTTTTCTGGCTTAATGAGAGGAGTGGGCTTAAAGGCCAATTTATGCTTCTGACGCATGGCCTCTGCAACCATCAAAATTCTCTCTGTCAGCGACAACGCGCAGAGGTTCTGCAACAATTGTTGCGCACCTCAAAAAAATCCTGACTACGCCTTGGACGGTCATCAACCAACACAGACCTCAAGCGGAAGTGCGCAGACATAAAGCAGCTGTGGTTGGTCCTTCGTATGCCTTTCCGGCTGTCTGTGTGGTCGTCCTTCTCTATTCGCTGCCGGGTTCCGCCATTTTTAAAAACCGAGGAACAACTACAATGGACATCTACGACGAAAGGTTAATCAAAGATGTTTGGAAGTACAACCACATGTACGATGCCTCAGACAAATGATATATAGATGCCAAGGTCTATGCCAAAACAAAGTTCTCGCGACAATCCACCGAAGTTCTCGCGAGTTCTCGAATAGGCTCCCACTAGCGCTTTGGCAGGAAACTGCTGTGATCCCTAGAAAATTCCAGACCGACGAAGCAGAAGCAAACCAGCAAAACTGGTTCATGACCAGACCCAAGCGACATTTGCTGTGTGCGTTTGCAGAAGCCTAATCTGCCCTTTAGGCTGCCCTGCAAGGCTTCAAACCTGGGTTTGAATTGTCACATAGCCATTCTGAAGCACATACAGGGTTTCCGAGGGTCATTAAAAAACATTAAATTATTGGTTTTTAAATTAAGGCCTTAATTGGCATTAAAATGTATCACATGCGAGTATTGTGGCATTTAAAATGCTTTATTTTAATAAAAAAAAGATATTTAGAAAAGCTATTTTGTCAGATATATTATATCAGGATATATTTACGCGGAACTTGCAGTTGATCGTAAAGCCGTATGTTTGGAAAAGAAGCTTGAGGCGGAGAAAAAGCTAGAGAATGGAAAAATGCAAATTTGGCTGGAAAAACAGGAATTCAGGTAATGGCTGAAGCCTGACGACAGCAAAGTACCAACACTATTTATAGTGGGAGTCGTGTGCTGCTGATCTCGACTCGGAACGTCGTATGTCGGTTTGAAGACCTTCCTAATCCCACCAACACGTCTTCCATTGAGGAAGCACAGCCTGGGTTCTCTCATCTCTGTTGCTCTATTGAATTCCTTACACTGAATTTTTATCCAGTAAAAATCTGCCTGCAAAAAATTCAGTTGCAAAAACTTAAACTGCAAATGTGTTGATAGTGAGATGAAACCTCATGAACCGTTTGGCTAATTGCTTCAACGATCCCCGCAGTTCATGAAGCTCCATGTGAACATGTCACCACCTACTGGTGGAGTGCAGAACTACAGTTAGTAATATAATCTGTGATATTTTTGCTATTAGTTTTCATGTTTTTTTGTTTAAGTTCATTTCAAATTGTTAATGATTGGCTTTCTTGCCTGTGTTTTCTTCCATATTTATCAGATTCATAACGTTCACAAGAAGCTTTAATAAATGGCTTTGTTCAAAGCCCTTTCAATCCACCTGTCCTCTTTGTTTACATTTTGGACAGAGAAGACAGGAGGTTTGAAAGGAGAAATATAATTATCTCAGCACTGATAGGGTGAAAAGCTCTTTGTCAGGTTTACTTAAGTACTTTTTATAAGATAGAAAAACAATCTCTGGTTAGCCCATGTCTTTTATTCCCAGTGACAAGAGACTTGCAGAAATATTAACAGGACAAACGGTGAGAAAGGAATTCTTTTTATCTGTGCGGCTGCAGAAATCAGAAGCAGCTGTTTTACATGCAAAGTCAATGGTTGACTCATGACAGCATTTCCACCTTCAACCGTGGCATCGGTGGGAACCCCGAACCGTGCATTTAGGGCATACAGGTGCTGGTCATAAAATTAGAATATCATGAAAAAGTAGATTGATTTCAGTAATTCCATTTAAAAAGTGAAACTTGTATATTATATTCATACATTACATACAAACTCATATATTTCAGATGTTTATTTTGTTTAATTTTGATGATTACAAATGACAACAAATGAAAATCTCAAATTCATCATATCAGAAAATTAGAATATTGCTGAAGACCAATAAAAACAAAGGATTTATAGAAATGTTGGCCAACTGAAAAGTATGAGCATGTACAGCACTCAGTATTTAGTTGGGCCTCCTTTGGCCTGTATTACTGCAGCAATGCGGCGTGGCATGGAGTCGATCAGTCTGTGGCACTGCTCAGGTGTTATGATAGCCCAGGTTGCTCTAATAGTGGCTTTTAGCTCTTCTGAATTGTTGGGTCTGGTGTATTGCATCTTCTTCTTCACAATACCCCATAGATTTTCTATGGGGTTAAGGTCAGGAGAGTTTGCTGGCCAATTAAGAACAGGGATACCATGGTCCTTCAACCAGGTACTGGTAGCTTTGGCACTGTGTGCAGGTGCCAAGTCCTGTTGGAAAATGAAATCTGCATCTCCAAAAAGTTGGTCAGCTGCAGGAAGCATGAAGTGCTCTAAAACTTCCTGGTATGTGGCTGCGTTGACCCTGGACCTCAGAAAACACAATGGACCAACACCAGCAGATGACATGGCACCCCAAACCATCACTGACTGTGGAAACTTTACACTGGACTTCAAGCAACGTGGATGAAGTGCCTCTCTTCTTTTCCTCCAGACTCTGGGACCTTGATTTCCAAAGGAAATGCAAAATTTACTTTCATCAGAGAACATGACTTTGGACCACTCACCAGCAGTCCAGTCCTGTTTCTCTTTAGCCCAGGCAAGACGCTTCTGACGCTGTCTGTGGTTCAAGAGTGGCTTGACACAAGGAATGCGACAGCAGAAACCCATGTCTTTCATACGTCTGTGTGTGGTGGTTCTTGAAGCACTCACTCCAGCTGCAGTCCACTCTTTGTGAATCTCCCCCACATTTTTGAAGGGGTTTTGTTTCACAATCCTCTCCAGGGTGCGGTTATCTCTCTTGCTTGTACACTTTTTTCGACCACATATTTTCCTTCCCTTCGCCTCTCTATTAATGTGCTTGGACACTGAGCTCTGTGAACAGCCAGCCTCTTTAGCGATGACCTTTTGTGTCTTGCCCTCCTTGTGCAAGGTGTCGATGGTCGTCTTTTGGACAACTGTCAAGTCAGCAGTCTTCCCCATGATTGTGTAGCCTATAGAACTAGACTGAAAGACCATTTAAAGGCTTTTGCAGGTGGTTTGAGTTAATTAGCTGATTAGAGTGTGGCACCAGGGGCCATCAATTTTGAACCTTTTCACAATCTTCTAATTTTCTGATATGATGAATTTGAGATTTTCATTTGTTATTTGTAATCATCAAAATTAAACAAAATAAACATCTGAAATATGAGTTTGTATGTAATGTATGAATATAATATACAAGTTTCACTTTTTAAATGGAATTACTGAAATCAATCTACTTTTTCATGATATTCTAATTTTATGACCAGCACCTGTATACGCACCTTTGCATGAGCAGAAAAATATCACCAGAATGATTGACAGTTAGGAGAACCACTTGTTTTGATGATCCACCCAGAAAAAGAACATCCTCCCCTATACCTTTAAGGTCAATTCTCAGGTGAAAGTTTTTTTTATTTTTAAAGTAATGTTTGTCATTTGTCATTTTTTTATCATAAAACTTGGGGACGAATAAAAGCAATCGATTTATCATATTTGGGTTAAAGATTGAAGATTAAATTTTAGGGCTGCATCCTAATTGAACAGCTTCCATTAGGATCAGGTCGGTCTTTCAGACATTAACAGCTTTCCATATCCTCCCCTTCAGGAATGTTTCAAGGGAAGTTGGACATCTCACAAGTTGCTGCACAAGAAAGCAAGTGGGTATCGCAGCCGTTATGCGTGTCTATGTTGTTCAGTGAAAGTATTGACAGCTACCTGCATCACTTTTTTCCCCAGAGGAAGACAAGAGTCAGACTGAAGATAAGAACTGTGTGGAGAAGGACACCAACACAGACCCATGGCCGGGATACCGTTACACAGGAAAGCTACGCCCGCACTACCCACTGGTGAACCTCCCCACTTCTCTAGTTTTCACTTCTTTATATAAAGAGTTGAGAAACTGTATATACACTGTGCAGAATTATTAGGCAAGTTGTATTTATGAGGATTATTTTTATTATTGGGCCACAATTGTGTTCTGAGTCAGCCCAAAAGACTACTTAATATGGCTAACCATCTCCACGGCTATGTGCTGTGTAGCTAGCTACCTAGCTCTGTAGATGGCTAACCATCTCCACAGCTATGTGCTGTGTAGCTAGCTACCTAGCTCTGTAGATGGCTAACCATCTCCACAGCTATGTGCTGTGTAGCTAGCTACCTAGCTCTGTAGATGGCTAACCATCTCCACAGCTATGTGCTGTGTAGCTAGCTACCTAGCTCTGTAGATGGCTAACCATCTCCACAGCTATGTGCTGTGTAGCTAGCTACCTAGCTCTGTAGATGGCTAACCATCTCCACGGCTATGTGCTGTGTAGCTAGCTACCTAGCTCTGTAGATGGCTAACCATCTCCACAGCTATGTGCTGTGTAGCTAGCTACACAGCTCTGTAGATGGCTAACTATCTCCACAGCTATGTGCTGTTTAGCTAGCTTCCTAGCTCTGTAGATGGCTAACCATCTCCACGGCTATGTGCTGTGTAGCTAGCTACCTAGCTCTGTAGAAGGCTAACCATCTCCACGGCTATGTGCTGTGTAGCTAGCTACCTAGCTCTGTAGATGGCTAGCCATCTCCACGGCTATGTGCTGTGTAGCTAGCTACCTTGCTCTGTAGATGGCTAGCCAGCTCCACAGCTATGTGCTGTGTAGCTAGCTACCTAGCTCTGTAGATGGCTAGCCAGCTCCACAGCTATGTGCTGTGTAGCTAGCTACCTAGCTCTGTAGATGGCTAGCCAGCTCCACAGCTATGTGCTGTGTAGCTAGCTACCTAGCTCTGTAGATGGCTAGCCAGCTCCACAGCTATGTGCTGTGTAGCTAGCTACCTAGCTCTGTAGATGGCTAGCCAGCTCCACAGCTATGTGCTGTGTAGCTAGCTACCTAGCTCTGTAGATGGCTAGCCAGCTCCACAGCTATGTGCTGTGTAGCTAGCTACCTAGCTCTGTAGATGGCTAGCCAGCTCCACAGCTATGTGCTGTGTAGCTAGCTACCTAGCTCTGTAGAAGGCTAACCATCTCCACGGCTATGTGCTGTGTAGCTAGCTACCTAGCTCTGTAGATGGCTAGCCATCTCCACGGCTATGTGCTGTGTAGCTAGCTACCTTGCTCTGTAGATGGCTAGCCAGCTCCACAGCTATGTGCTGTGTAGCTAGCTACCTAGCTCTGTAGATGGCTAGCCAGCTCCACAGCTATGTGCTGTGTAGCTAGCTACCTAGCTCTGTAGATGGCTAGCCAGCTCCACAGCTATGTGCTGTGTAGCTAGCTACCTAGCTCTGTAGATGGCTAGCCAGCTCCACAGCTATGTGCTGTGTAGCTAGCTACCTAGCTCTGTAGATGGCTAGCCAGCTCCACAGCTATGTGCTGTGTAGCTAGCTACCTAGCTCTGTAGATGGCTAGCCAGCTCCACAGCTATGTGCTGTGTAGCTAGCTACCTAGCTCTGTAGATGGCTAGCCAGCTCCACAGCTATGTGCTGTGTAGCTAGCTACCTAGCTCTGTAGATGGCTAGCCAGCTCCACAGCTATGTGCTGTGTAGCTAGCTACCTAGCTCTGTAGATGGCTAGCCAGCTCCACAGCTATGTGCTGTGTAGCTAGCTACCTAGCTCTGTAGATGGCTAGCCAGCTCCACAGCTATGTGCTGTGTAGCTAGCTACCTTGCTCTGTAGATGGCTAACCATCTCCACAGCTATGTGCTGTGTAGCTAGCTACCTAGCCACCCTGTGTTCTAATGTGTTTTCTCGGTCTGTCTGTCAGACTCCAATGAGACTTGTTCCAGGTGACATCCAAAGACCCGACTATGCTGATCATCCCAGAGGTAAGAAAACCTTAGATTTTCATTCTTGGCAGCCTGTTGTTTGGGAGGCATTGCTGACCTGCAGCTCTTTAAGTCTATTGGTGGTTTCCACAGCACACATTTGTATTTGTCCGGAGTGACGTCTAGTAACTGGTGTAGCTTTACACCAGTAGCATCTCCAGACATCCTTCGTTACATTATATTGTATATAGCTATAGATATATAGCTATCAACACCAAGCCAAATTCCTTGTAAGTGCAAACCTACTTGGCCATAAATCCGATTGGGTCTGGTTAGTGGGACCACCTGTAGGGAACAAAGGAACCCAACATCTGGGGCTATATCAGACCAGGGAAAACATGCAAAGCAATCAACATTAGATCAATATTTTAATTATGATGGAAACCCGTTATGCTACTTTGGGATTTTGTGATGAAATTAATAATTTTAAGTTATGAAATGATCAAACTTTATAAATTAGTCCAGGTTTGACTAGTGGAGGTGTATTAAAGTCTGATCAAAGCTGCTTGATACTCATTAAAAGCAGTGAAGCAGCTTTTAACTCCAACTTCGGCGTCCTGTTGTCGGGTCTCAGAGCTGTGAGTCGATGCTTGGCTCAGCGTGCAGGCTCTGGACGTTTCCTGAGGTTATTTTGGAGGTTTATACGTTGGTCCACATGCTGCTGCTAGTTGTGTTGGTGCAAACCCAGCCCTGTTATATTCGTCTTGTTTTCCATACCTACGCCTGTCAGGTTACATAGTCCCAGAAACGACTGAGATAGAAGTTCATGTTGTCATTTGGAGATAATTTTAAACCGATGATGATGGAATAATAATGAAAACCAACAATCGCTATGTGTTGCAAAAAGCTGGTTTTACAACAATATCAAAGGGCAGCTCTTCAGAGGTCAGGAAATCTACACTGACAGTGAGACATAGACAGTGAGACATAGAGCTGTGTTTGGAAAATATGGAAGAAATATATTTCAATTCTGATTTGATTCCGATTAAATCTGAAAGATTGAGTCATAGAATCGAAGACTGATGAAAAAACATAATATGCTGCGTTCACACCGACGGCGTCGGGGGCACCAATAGGGTCTGATTTACATGCAAAGTCTATGTGGACGGCGTCCAGGGGTCCGGCGGCACGTCTGAGCGTTCTGACCTCCAAGCATGCGAGAAGCTGGCGCTGGAGGTCAGTAAATTGAACTTCTGCTGCTGGACGCCGGAGCGTCAACCAATCAGAAAAGTTGATCCGGGGAGGAGATGGACAATACCTGCAAGCTGTCATCGCTCCTGCAGACATTCTGCAGATAAACAATAAATAAATATAAAGGAGTTTTTTTCTAAAGGTTAAAAATAAAGCTGTTAGAATGGATTGTTGTTTGGTCCGCTCTATAAAACCTGCAACTCAACGCTATTTCTGACATTTTGAATTGAAAAAGCTTCCTGGATGGAAGAGAAACGTCTTCAGACTTGGAAACAAAGTCCAGTGGATTATCTTTTTTTTTTTTTACTTTTTTTGGAACCAGTGGGATTAATCCAAAGGAAAATGAAAATTGTTCACTCCTGGCAGCACACGCCTTCTGTTTGGACCTCTTCTCTCTCATCAAACGCCCATTCTGCTCGCTGTGGTTCTGGGCCTAACTTCGGAGTTGGTTCTGGTCTTGACCCGTCCCGGATCATGTAAACCCCTCCAGACTGGCGGAGCAGAGGGTCGTCTCTGCTGTTGGTTCTGGTTCAGCGAGGCGGGTCGGATCAGTGGGGATCATCGGATTAGCAGAACTTCTCCCTGACAAACGGACCTCCTCTCTGGCTTCCATCATCTCACACCTTATCTGACTTTATTTATGTAGCCGGGTTAACCAAGCGCGCTGCCATGGCAACCTTTGTATTGGCGGATCCATCCTCGGGTCGTCATGGTTACGGTCTCCTCTCATTCTGCGGTTGGAGCCGATGTGCTGTAAAGCCGAGCGGCCTCATCAGAGGCTCCGTTCTGAGCAGAGGCTTTGATGCGGCCGGGGTGCGAGCGCAGGCTTTCCCTGTTTCTAAGCAACCGGCCACCGTCCCGCTGGATGTTGGAGCTGATTAATTCTAAACGTGGGAATTATTGATGGGTTTTTTTTCCCACCTTGCAGTCCAGTAATGATGCCTGTATGTAGTGACTGCTCTCAGACTCTGCTTCTCTTGTTCTTCTCCTCACCACAGTAACAGTCCAGCTCTGCTCCAGTGACTCGGCAGCGTGAGTGTCATCAGACGCTTTGCTCCGTAGCTGTAGTCTCTGCAGGAGCAGCTAGTTATCCGTAGCTCTGCAAGGCGCCTTTTTCTGTTTCCTCTGTTTAGGATCGGAGCTGGAAAATCTCTCACAGGGAGCGGAGAGTACGCCATAAACTCTCCATGTGAGGCTCCAGAGTCCTGGATGGAGTCTTAAAGTGACCCAGAAGGATGAGGGTCTCTCCGCCGCATCTTTAATTAGAAGGCCTCATCTGACCCGCCTCCCTTTGTTTCACGAAAATCTTTTCATTCTAAAGTTAGAAGCTGAAATGTACGACCGAGTTTTAGGGCCAGGCTAGAGATTTTTTTTCCTTCTATTTCGAGAATAAAGTCATAATGTTACGAGAAACAAGTCGTATTTTATGACAACTCTTCCAAGAAGCTCTTTCTTCCCTAAAATGAGGAATGTGGAGCATCATGGGAAGTTCTACTTTAGCATCGGTTTGACAAATCAGGAAATCTTTTAGCAGCAGCATCAAACTGGGCAGGATGTCAAAGTGGACTCTGGTTGCTCATTGGTGGAGCTGGTCGGCCGTCATCTGCTGGGCGGAGCTCCAAGCTTTCTTTCTGTTGAATGATGACTTCATTCTTTTAATATTACGACTTTATTCTCATAATGTTACAACTTAATTATTGAAATAAAAAAAAAATAAAAAAATCTCTAGCCTGGCCCTAATAATCCGTCATAAAAAAGATTCTCCAGATGCAATTTAAAAATGTTTTTTTTTTTTTTTTTTTCTTCTTTTTAGATGAGCTGATCTCGGATTAATTTTGGTAGGGAGGAAACGGCCCCATTGAAAGCTGATTGATATCAGCATTAATCGTAAATACGCTTGAGGCTTATTTTTCAGTTTTGGATGTAAGAAAATCACGTGATCTAGAAAAAAGTTAAGAATGCCTAAAATAAGTGTATTTACCCTTAATTTAAATGGGTAAATCCGATAGTTTGATAGAGTATTTTTACTCTTAAAATAAGATAATTAGATAATATGCTTGAAATAAGACAAGGTAATTGTGTTTTTATTATTCCATCGACAAAATGTCTTACCTCCTCTATTGAAGAACAAATAAACGTATTTTAAGAAAAAAATACTGATCTAGATTTTGATTTTTCCCAGTGTGAACAACAATCTACAGGAATGAGAAACTTTAAACAAAAGCTGTTTTTAGATCCCTGATGTTTAGGTTCTGGCTGATTATAATCTGATATTTGATTATCGAATCGGACATTGCTAAATATGGGTATCAGTCACGATATTGAAGAACACCTTAGATCGGGTTTCTGCTTAGAGCAGGGATTGCACTGCAAAAAATGAAATCTAAGTTTGTTTTGAAAGAGCATTTTTCTTGAATTAAGCAGTTAAGATCATAATATCTATTATCTAATTTATACCTTTTTTGAAAGAGTGAAATTGGCAGATTATCTAATTTACTTGCTCAAATTAAAATACATTTTAAGACATTTTTACTCATTTTTAGATCATTTTTGCAGTGTGCAGTTTCTTCCGGATGGTGTTTTTCTTTCCCCAGGAATTTTCTATTTATTATTTCTGGGTGGGGGGAACTGTTCCTTCCAGTTTCTTAGAGAAGAAACTGAAAATTTACTGGAAACTTTTGTGAATATTTAGCCTCAAGCAGGAAGATATCCAGTAATAACCTTGAGGCAGTGGGTGATTTACATTTAGGCAATTCTAGGCAGCTGCCTAGGGCCCCAAGTTCCTGGGGGCCCCATAAAACTCTGTTTCCATGTATGTTTAATACAACTATTCCTTATTTGTGAACACAAATTATGTTTTTGATAAAAAATCCTTTGGCTGAAATGCCATCAGAACGCTGATAATATTAAATGTGTCTCAGCCCCCCCCTTCAGTGTCCACCATATTGGATCAGTCCATTTGCTGCACATGTTCAGAAAGGTCCAAACAGACAGCAGCAAACCATTTGAAAACAAACCATGCAAAGAGCAGTGTTGCCAACTTAGCGCTTTAGTCGCTATATTTAGCCACTTTTCAGACCCCTCTAGCACTTTGATTTCTAAAAAGCTCCTAGCGCCAAATCTAGAGACTTTTTTCTGCTACTGGAGACTTTGGAGACAACATCTAAAAGCAGCGAACTCTGCTCTCCAGAGCGAGTAGATTGGTAACCCCGCCTCCTGCTCTCCTCTATCTTGTCTGCTGTCATGATTCATGCAGCTATTATTTCATCCAAATGAAAAATGGAGAACAGATAAGCAGATCATGGCTTGTCTACAGTGAAAAGAAGGACTGGGTTATTTACTTTGGCCTTTTTGGAAACACAGGAAGGAGCAATCAGCTAAGTGAGCTTAGTGCTTGGAAAAAATCTTTCATTCCTTTAGAGACAGCATGAAAAGTCAGCTGAGTACAAAACATAGAGAGGAAAACAAGAAGAAAAGGGACAAGAAGAGAGGGACACAACCTAGAACAGATAATGGATGTCTATTCTAGTAACATTTCTGTATCTGTAGAATAGCTCTGTTTTATGTCTTGTCTTCTAGATTCAGAGGGCCCCCTGCCTGTCTTTGCATAGGGCCCCAAATTTCCTAAATCCGCCCCTGCCTTAAGGTCATTACTGGATCAGGTGTAGTTTAAGAGTCATGACTTCATATTTTACATACAGTCCTGCTGAGCCTGAGCCTAACTTTTAGGCTTAAAAATTAAAACCCAGATTTTAGATGCAGTCTGTTTCCTTCAGACAGATTGAATCTAAAATCTGGGTCCTGCTTTCTGGAGCTAGTTTCTGCTTCTGCTTTAGAGGTTAGCTTATTTTTTTTTTGTATCGTTGCCGTTTGGTGTTTAATTACTGTTCAACCTGTCGAAGCTTTCAGGAATCAGACGCCACAGAAGGTAAAAACCATAATCTCATAAACAGACTTCTCTGCTTCACTGTAAACATTAATGATTTCCCTACAGAGGAGTCGGGTGAATTCAGAAGTTCTTGGTAAAGTAACTGATGAGGATGATTAAGATCCCGCCGAGTGTCAGCGTGGATCAGAACATGACTAACAGACGGCTGCTTTTTCAAGGTCTTTGCTCAACAGTCTCCCTTCGTATCAATGCGTGAGTGATGTCCTTGTCTCCTTGTCTCCTCCCCTACAGGGATGTCTGAGTCTGAGCAGTTCTTGAAAGGGACGTCTCAGATCAAGATCCTCTCCCCTGAGGACATCGAAGCCATGAGGCTGGTGTCCAAGGTGACCTCATTGACATCTCCTGCTGCTTAAAGTTCTGTTGTTGCCATTCAGTTCTGACGCGCCTCCTTTTTTCGCTTTTTTTATTCTTTTCTTTCTTCCAGCTGGCTCGAGAAGTCCTGGACATCGCGGCCATGATGGTGAAACCAGGGGTGACGACGGAGGAAATCGACCACGCTGTTCACCTGGTATGAAATACGCTCTATTTTTTACTGAGGATGGAGGAAGCAGGAAGTCATGCTACGTTCAGATCGCAAGTAGCAGCAGTAGCAGCATAAACGCGCGTGCTGCTTCATTATTGATGCTTGTACCAGTTTAGTTCTGACGCGCGGCTGAAGCATCTTTGCTGCTCTAGCCTCCAGTGATAAAGTGGGTCTGATGCACGGTGGGCGGAGCTACCCTATCCTTTCTCTGCCTGGAACAATGGCAGCTATATTAGCTGTGATCAGCGGGTAGAAAGTAGTTAGAATCTATGTTGAAGTGAGAAAGTCCTCCTGAAAACATGGTCTGTGCAGTCAGTTCATCCAGATTACCATCCTGCCTTCATAGATTATTTCTCTGTGGGAGCCGCTCAGACCCCCACATACCGGCACCGCGCTTTCACTGGGAATCCCCAGCAGAAGCTGCCTCAGGCCCGCTCGCCTCTTGGGGTTTTCCCCTCCTGTTGGTGGCGGCTAGAAGGCGTTTTTCACGTATGTAATCCAAACTGCAGGCACCAGGTCAGCGTCAAAGTGCCAAAAATGCTTTTTTCACTCATAAAAGAGAATCTGGTCAGATAAATATGCTGATTTCCATTATTGGAGACCTTCTGCATTAAGGCAAAGCCTTTGCTCCTAAGATTTAGTTGTTGTTTTAATGAAATTTACCGATAAAATCACCAAACTAAATAGAAAATAAGAACAACAGAGCAGCTTAAGTAGCGTATGCCGGTTACATCGCCTGAAATGGTCACACAATGACCTCCGACCCCTCCTTGGAAAGATCTGAGCCTCTAGTTTCCAATGATGGTGGCCATTAGGGGGCAGGGCTAACGATGAATACCTGCTGTCGCATTACTCCTGCAGAGTCACACACGTCAGGTGGAGTTTTAAATCTCATTTCATTTGTTTACACAAAAAGTACTTTTTAGTACAAACTTTTTAGAAATCCTAAAGCCCTGTTTTGAAAGGTGTGGATGAAACACCCTGTAGCGGGCCTGCCGGGCTTAAACTGTTAATATGAAGCTTCTGATGCTGAATTTTATAAAGTTAAAATAGCAAAATGAAGCTTGTTTAGCTGTGAAAGCCCCTTTAAAGCAGATAGAATTCCTGCATCGTTGATTTAAAGGCTGGATGATGAATAAACTAGCAGCTAAAGATCATTAATAGATTCAGAGATGTTAAAAATGATCAGTTTGAGGGTCATAAACGCTCAAAGCTCTTTTAATTAATGATGGTGGACGTGTTCTGCGGTCTTCCTCAGAGTTAATGAAAGCTGTGTTTCTATCTACTTCTCGAAATCTGCGCTGCTTCTCTGGTTGATGATGATCTACCACCTGTTGATCTCCTTTGATGTTGCCTCTTGTTAAAAGCCTCCATTAGCAGGAGCTGCCGGCTGCGTTCGCTTCTAATTAGGTCCAAAACAAGATGGTTCCCCTGAGAGCAGAAGCCGCTAACGTCAGCATTTATTACTGCTTGGTTCAGAGCGCCGCTGCTCCTCTCAGAGAAACCGTCATGGCGGCAGTTTGTTCACACGGCTCTTCTGGTTTGGTTCTTGATCATGTTCAGGCCGCCATCTTTAACCCTCCTGGCTCAGGCGGCATCACCTAATCAGGTGTCCCTGTCCTCCATGCAGGTAAAGGATGACAAACTTGTCTTGTTTTTGTTTGCAGGCCTGCGTAGCCAGGAAGTGCTACCCCTCCCCTCTGAACTACTATAACTTCCCCAAGTCCTGCTGCACGTCCGTCAACGAGGTGATCTGCCACGGCATCCCGGACAGAAGACCACTGGAGGACGGAGACATCCTCAACGGTCTGCTGCTCCTCCCCCCCGCCCTGTCTGTTAATCAACCACTGTTTCTCTCTGATGATGAATGTTTGCTGCAGCGTTTGATGTCAGCAGGAGTTTGGCCAATTTTAGCGTCTTTCTGGACGTTTCTGCTGCGGCGCCGCTCCCCTCAGGGTGCCTGATGGAGCACGGTCAGCAGCTGGTCCCTCACTGCGCGCTCTGACATGATAGATCGTTTCATTATCCCCCCCCCCCCTCCCCCACACACGGATCATCCATTTTGTCAGGATCAGAACTCCTTTTTTGGGTCTAAAGCAGCGGCCTGCAACTTTTATGACCCAAAAAGCCATTTTTACCCTTAGTTCAGCAAATAAAACCTGTTTGACATCATTATTGAGAAAAACATTTTTATTTTCTGCCTGTGAGCAGAAACTTTATTACTTTTTTTTATGTTTAGCTGAATTTGAAACTGTGGAAGTTAATGTTGAGATTTCATTTCAAACACTGATCTGTTATTAAAAGGTAGAGTGCATCAAAGTAATTTTACTGTATGTTTTGTACGCCACTCAGGGGCGGATTTACCATTAGGCAATACTAGGCTGCTGCCTAGGGCCCCAAGTTCCTGGGGGCCCCATAAAACTCTGCTTACATGTATGGTTAATATAACTATTCCTTATTTGTGCTCATTAATTATGTTTTTGATAAAAATCCTTTGGCTAAAATGCCATCAGAACGCTGATAATATTAAGTGTGTCTCGGCCCCCCGTCAGTGTCCGCCATATTGGATCAGTCCATTTGCTGCACATGTTCAGAAAGGTCCAAACAGACAGCAGCAAACCATTTGAAAACAAACCATGCATTCATCCATTCAGAGCGGCCCCCTGCCTGTCTCTGGCCCGAAATTTCCAGAGGTTCTGAGTTCGAGTCCCACTCCCACAGACTGCCACTCTGGGTCTCTGAGCAAGACCCTTAACCCCACACTGCTCCCTGGGCGCCACACGATGGCAGCCCACTGCTCACTGAGGGGAGGGGTTAAACGCAGAGAGTGAATTTCCTTGCTTTGTACTTGTGGCAGTGTAATCACAATAAAACGCTGGGAAAAAAGAAATTTCTATCAAAATAAGGAATAAAAGATTGTTCAAAAACATTTTCTGACTTTTTCTGACCTGTCTGAGTAAAACCGTATCAAAACCAATGATTCAAGTGTCGCTTATTAAGCTAATTAGCACCAGACCTAAATTTGCACAAATAATGCTACGTTCATTCCGCAAGCAGCAAAAACATGCATGATGCTTCATTTTTGATGCCTGTACAAGTTTAGCTCACCAGGACAATAAAAGCCAACATATTCTACCGGCAGGTTTCTACGTTTGAAGTTAATTTAGGCGTTAATATTAATAAACTGTTTCAGAGGAGTGATCATAGCGCTCTGCATCAGCAGTGCTGCGTCTGACTCCCTGCCAGCTCCCAGATAAGCTTCCCTGATTGGTTGATGCGGCGTTACATTTTTCCAACTCCAGCATCTGCAGCTTCTGAGGCGTGTCGGATGCTCAGAAGCTCATGGCGCTGCTCTAGATGCGCTGCAGAACCTTTTGTTGCGCCTTGATGCGCGTCGACCATTAACTGCATGGAAACCAGCTGCTCCTGCTGCCTGCGGTGTGAACGTAGCATAAATGTCTTGGTGTTAAAATGACCATCCGCCATTTAACCTGATCTCTTACCCCGACCCTTTACTTCCTCAGTGGACATCACAGTCTACCACAACGGTTTCCATGGCGACCTGAATGAGACCTTCTTCGTGGGCGAGGTGGACGAAGGAGCGAAGAGGCTGGTGCAGACGACATACGAATGCCTGATGCAGGCCATCGACTCCGGTAGGCCCGTTCATCTCGGCCCGTCGGACCCGCGTTCCGAGTTAATAACCCCCCCCCCCCCCACAGTGAAGCCGGGCGTTCGCTACAGAGAGCTGGGGAACATCATCCAGAAACACGCTCAGGCTAGCGGCTTCTCGGTGGTCCGGAGCTACTGCGGCCACGGCATCCACCGGCTGTTCCACACCGCTCCCAACGTGCCGCATTACGCCAGTGAGTCCGCCGGGATCAGAACCGCATCAGAACCCGCCCACCCCTCCCCCTAACCTCTGCGCCTGTTTGATTTCACAGAGAACAAGGCGGTGGGAGTGATGAAGCCGGGTCACGTGTTCACCATCGAGCCCATGATCTGTGAGGGTGAGTGACGGCGCCAGAGGCCCGCCTCCACCACGGGTTCCCATGGTTCTGATTGGCCCCGCCCTCTCTGTGTGTTTTTAAGGTGGTTGGCAAGACGAGACGTGGCCCGACGGCTGGACGGCCGTCACCAGGGACGGCAGGCGGTCAGCCCAGTTCGAGCACACGCTGCTGGTGACGGAGACGGGCTGTGAGATCCTGACCCGCCGCCTGGAGGACCACGGACGGGCTCACTTCCTGAACCAGATGTAGGCTCCAGCGGAGCCGGCAGCGCACGGACCGGACCTGTTCCAGAACCCCAGAACCTCTGGGTCTCTGACTCAACCTTCACTCCCAACTCCACTGAAGACGCGTCACTTCGAGAGCCCAGTGGGGGGGGCAGGCGGTTCTGTCGGCGCCGGTTCCTCGAATCAAACAGAAGTACTTGAACACGTCTGGTGTGAGAAGGCCGCTTCGTTAGTCCGAAACGGGTCCGGATCAGGAGAGCGGCTCGGCCGGAACCATCGTTCTGCTCTTTTCTGTCAGCCCGCCGCCGCCAGAGATGAGCCGGACCGGATCCGCACCGCTGAGACCAGAACCGGACCCGCCCACCAGAACTTAGAGGAATTCAGCTGGTACGGCTCAGAGCTGATCTGGGCCGCACCAGCTGCCTTCCTGGACAGAAATCCTGAGTGAGTCGGATCAGGAAGGTCCGGACCGAGTCGATTATTCTACCAAATAACATCGCTGTTAAAACTCCGGGTTTTTGTTGCTCAGCTTTAAGTCTTCGGACAGGAGAAAGGTTCTGTTTGTGACGAGCAGCAGTAGAACCGGGCCGGGCGGGTTCTGAGCGACAGCTGCAGCTTTAAAGTATTTAAATCAAAAACACAAACGTATTCGGTGGCGTCTGATGTAACGTGTTTGACCTCAGCAGGAGGCTGGTAGTAGAACCACGGGGGGGAGCAGAACCGGGTTTGGGCTTTAAGATCCGGTCCCGCCTGGCTGCCGAGCCTCGGCGGAACGGGGAGGACGCTCTCCTTCCTGTTCACCTTTGACCCCCCGCCCCCCCCTGCTGTCATCGTTGTTTCTCTGCACTCTTTGTACTTCTGATGGCGTAATAAAGGACTCTTCTGTAGCTCCGTGTGGCTGATTGTCTGCGACCCGCCGGGTTCTCCAGAACCTTGGCTCTAAATGTCCGCCTCCCGACCCCACCTGCTGCTGGTAGCAGATGAGGAAACGATGGCGGCTCTTCTTTGATGAAGAAGGCGCTCGGCGGCTCGGTTACCCGGTGGACTGATTAGCATAGTCATAGTCAATATCCGTTTATCTCTTTAATTTTGTACGAAAAATAAACTTTAAACTCCCTGAATGGGCGTGTTTCCCTTTATTCATGTACAATAAAAACTATTTAATTACTTTTTGGTGTTTTTGGAAGCATATCGGGATCTGACCTTAAATCGTTTGGTTTTTTTGTACAAAACTAAAGGGATAAACGCAAATCTGACGTGTTATTCGTGCGCATTGACTATAGGTATGCTAATCTGACACCGGCCCTGAAGACTTGGACGACTTTCATCATTTCTCACACAGCAGCAGCTTAGCAGTGAAGATGGAACCATTTTTAATTCCCTAAAGAATTATTATTGCTTTATTTTCACATCATCATTTTACTTGAAGTGATTTAATTGCCTTAATTTTGGATTCTGATATATTTGAATCTGTTAATGTTGATGTGAAATTAAATTGAATAAATACATTTAAAAGACAAATATTGATGAAAATGTTGAAATCTTCCACAGTTACATATGAACAGCTGAACTTCAAATTATTATTTATAATAAAATAATTACATTTTGAAAATGTATATATTAATTTTTGTAAATGATGGTTTTTGGGGAGTTTACATTTCTCTAAATGTCAGAACAGTCGGTTCAAAGCTCATTCCAAAAAAGTTAAAATCAATCCACTTTGTTTCCAACTTTGAAGACCTTTCTCTCCCATCCAGGAAGTTTTTTCAATTCAAAATGTCAGAAATGGCGTCAAATAGAAACGGATGAACGGGTCCCCCCCTTTGGAATGGGGGTCGTTTAGCTTCTTTGTTAGCCTGCAATGCCCCATACCTGTCTATGTCTCTGAAAGGGGGGGTCATTAGAGGGAATAGTTGGCCTTCTGTTCCCCTGTAAAGGGGGATTCAAAGGTGGGTGTGAAAACTTTCTTTAGAATCATAGGGGGCCCCAGTAAGAGAAGTTTAATTAATCTGTGTTTCAAAATGTTGCTGTTTGTATCACTGAATGTGTGGCCAAGAAAAAAAAACATTGAAGGAGGTAAATTTAAACGGCTCCTGAACTGATGGGAATATTTCGTTCACTGTTCAGTGTCCTTCCCAATGAAGCTACACTGAGCTGTGGAGGGAGCCTTGAATCAAAGTGGGCTATGAATGAGAACGGGGCGGCCTCTTCCCTCCAGTTGCTATGGCAACATGGTGTCAATGGCTGTAGGTGTGTGGAGCAGGTGGATATACAGTAGTAGCATCAGCAATTTCCCCACTTTCCTTGATGGGTCCTTAGCTGGTCCCCTTTAGTTCCTTTTTAAACATCAATCTTTGTACGAAAATATTCTCTCTGTCATGATTTGTGGACGTTAAGATCTAAAGAGAAGCGCCATCTCCTGGTCAGACCCTGTAATTCAGTGAAAGGGTGGAGTCAGAGTAAAAAATATGCACGCCCAGGAGAAGGCCAGTGGCTGGAAGGTGCCATTCGGCTGCCGTTTATTGGGAGGGGCCATTTTGAATGGCTGCTACTGTAAAATGTTTCCCTTTCTTAAAAACAAGTTTCTACATTCAAAACAATTTGAAAGAAAACCTTCCCTTTTGGAGTTACTGACCTGTTTTTGTGTGTGTTTTTTTTTCCGCTAACTTGTGATTTTTCTGTCAGTTTGTCAGATTTTTCTTCACCATTGAAATTCACCAGAGCTATAGTGAAACTGACAATGCCCACGTGCATGGCAGCTGGATGCTGGAATACATCAGGTAAAAGTGAAAAAAAAGAGTTATTCCACCTTTCTGATTCCTGATCCTCCACGGACGGGTTGGTCGTTGGATCGCCAACCTGAAGAGGGAGGATTTGCCATCGAACTTCTGGCCAGAGAAAAAACCCGTAATATGTAGCCAACATTTGGAAGAAGAATGTTTTCAAGATGACTTGGATAATAGCGCGTTGTGACAAACACCAGATACAGCACTGGGACTTGATCAACAGCCGATACCGCACCGTGACAATGTCACTAACCAGTAGGTGGCAGTAGTGTTCTTTGACAAACATGGATGCCTCCAGTAAAGCACATTCACATGAAAATTACTCTGAATTAAAAACACTGATCATTTATTGAACAGGATGGAATAATTTTATATTTAAAGTACTTTCAGATAAGAAGCTAATTAACGCAGATCAGGTGAATCACCATGGCAACAGCAGGATAGAACGCCTTTAACAGTTCAGTTAGAGGCCACACCCCCAGGGCTGAGGGGACGAGAGGAGGGCGGAGTCATTTAAAGCAAACCTTTTCTCATTGGTTCCTCTGCCTTGGGGGTGTGGCCTAAAGTTTTACATTTAGGAACCAAAATATAGATTTAGATTTCACATGAACACATAAATATACATTTTTTTTCAATAAATACATCATAAATAGACACAAGATTTAAAAAAAAAGAGGTGGTCAGGTTTAGAAATGGATTTCACAAATATATATTTAATATTTAGTGAGATGTGACATTTATATTTACCGTTTAAATACAGATGTAGAAGAAAAACTCAATTTAAATAAAATGTAACAGAAATATGACAAGAAATGTCTTCTATAAATCTGTCCATCCTCAGCTCCGCAGTATGTTGTTTTTATTGAATATGTGTCCAGATGCAACATAACAAGCTGCAGTTAATTAATGTGAATCCTAGAAAATGTAATGAGTAGCAGGCCACCTTCTTACTGCTGATATGTCATAATCTACACGTCATAACATTTAATCTCCACATAGATCTAATTTAGTTCTTGCTGAGAATATATAATAAAATCTGAAGTCTTTATTAAAGCTAATTTTAAGAACACATATTCCATGCGAGAAGATAAAAAATATAATTAGGCTCCAGTCACCTTCTCCCTATGGAGAAATCTTCAGAGAAATTGAGCTCCAACCTTAACGCTTCTGGGAAAGGATAGGCCATTGTCCACCCTATGAAGTAAAATTTGTTCCATTATTGTTTCAGGAAAAGGACATTTAATAAAATAAAATAGAATTTGGACAAATCTTTTAAAAAAATAATAAAAGAGGTTTGGAGAGTAACTTTGTTGTTTTCTCAATTTTAAAGCTATAGAGGAAGATCTTTTATTTCTGGGTGGATCATCTCAACATGTGGTCCTCCTGATTGTCAATCATTCTGGTGATATGTTTACGTAAGGCCGTCCTACGTGTTCGTCCCGTTAGCGATCTTTTTCACTTTCAGGCGTATATCTGTCGTGAGCTATGGTTTCAGACAGTCAGTGAAGCTCACCTTTCTCACTGTGGTTCTTTGAAGATGGCCGTAATAGAAGAAGTGTCTACGAAGTGTATGAGAAGAAAAGAAAGGCCTCAGAAGAGGCAGATATATCCCAGAATGCTTTGCGTGAAGAGCTCTCCTCGCAATGCATTATGGGATTTGCCGTCACACCAGATATGCTCTATGTTACCATAGATCAGGGGTGACTAATTAAAACTCAGCGGGGTCCAAATAAAGAAAATCATCAACCAGTAAAGGTCTGGAAACATTTTTTATTAGAATCTGCTACTTTAAACAGAATTTAACACTGAAATAAAATGAGTTTTTTATGCATCCATGTTATACATTGAATTTTTAAATAGAAATATACATATATATAAAAAAATACAAAGTTTTTCATTTTGAAATTTAAACTGTTTTTGAAGTAGAGAACAAAATTTGTTCAGTTTAGTATATGGACAATTTCCTGATTCCCGTATTTTCTCAAACCCCTGAACTGAGCGTTTGTTTTTCTTTTTTCTGTCTTAATGTTGGCAGTGGGCTTTAGGCTGCCCTGCAAGGCTTTAAACCTGGGTTTAACCGGAGACTAAGCCATTCTCAAGCACATATCAAGGAGCTCATTTTGAGCCTGGATCCAGATTTATTGTTGATTCTGTTCATGGTGGAGAATCCTGCTTCACAGCAGCAGGTTGAGCCAAACATCCTCTAAATGTGCAAGGTCATCTTTGAGCACGCCATTTCACTTTTCTTTCACCAGTTCACCGCAGTTCTTCCAGCAGTCCACACTTTCTCTGCTCTCTTTTTCTCATGGTCTTCTCCTTCTTTCCCATCGCCCGGCTTGCCACAGGTTTGCCTGCTGTGTCTAAAAGTAGCAGCAGCAGCAACCCAGACTGACAGCTCATTGGCTCATTTGGATCACGTGCAGCCTGGAGCCGGACGCTCCCCAGGGCTTTACCGTATTAACAGGAGAAGAGGAGCAAGTGAAATTAGACACTGTCGTTGAACAATTTATAAATGTTTTAAATCAGGTGGGTCCGCGAGGACCGTAGTCCGCTAATCCGTGACCTCTGCCATAGGCTCCCGCTACCAGACAGCGGCGACTAATAACAAAGATGGCGCAGGCACTACGCGGTGGAGGAGGAGTTACGTGAACAACAGAGCAAAAAGCAGTGATCATCTGTCTGAACGGTCAGTTAACTGAGTTCACTATAAAGTTCACTATATAGTCTCAGCTCTATATAGTGATGGAGGGATTTAGGGGTTAGGGCAGACAGTCACAGTAAGCTTGTATGAGCGATGAGAACAGCAACTTTTAAACAGAGCGTGCACGAGGAGAAATGGGCTCGTGCATGCTCTAACACGCGTTTAAGGCGTTCCCTCTCAGGAACGGGTACAGGGTTGTGCATGTGCATATATTTTTAAAGTGGAGAGGGCGGATCATCTTTTAAAAAGATTTGCGAAAATCCTCCATTATAACTTTTATCTGTTTTTATTATATTTCCAGATGTCATTTTTTAGATTTTATTTTTTACTGGTGTTATATTTTGACTTATTTAAATTTCTCTTTCAGACTGAGTTGGATGAATTGCATTTTTAAACTGGATTATTATACATATTACATTCTGTTTTCTTTCCAGAGGCTTTCCTATGGTTTGAGGAGCAAAGATGCATTTTTATTGGTCTGCTGGACGTTAGCGACATCTTTTTATTGGTCAAGAGTGAATTTTTGTAAAAATGCAATCTGTAAAACACAGTTTGAAAAGAATGCAAACAACTAAACTTAACCTGAAAATAAAAAAACGGAAAAAATAATGAAAGATATAAATGAAATATGAAAATATTTTATTTGAAATAATTAATCAAAACTTATTTAAATTCTTTTTTTTTTATTAGAGAAAACAAAAAAGCTACTCTTTTTTCAGAAATTCCTTTCCAGAGTATGTTATTTGCTTGCAGCAATAATGGAACAAATCTTAGCTAAAAAGTAGGAAATACTCCGGGTTGCTCCAGACAGTCCTGGTCCGCTTTGTTTCACAGAGTCATTTGTTTTCAGTTTTACTCAGGACTCATATGTTGACCCTAGAATTTACTCAGTATTACCACAGATTCTGAGCTGAGCTTTAGGTAACCAGGAGGAACCAAGGCTTCAGACCAACAAAAAGTTTTCCCTTTCAGTTTGAGCAGGGGCGGATTTACCATTGGCTAATACTAGGCAGCTGCCTAGGGCCCCAAAGTTCCTGGGGGCCCCATAAAATTCCATTTCTATGTCTGGTTAATACAACTATTCCTTATTTGTGCATATTAATTATTTTTTTGATAAAAATCCTTTGGCTAAAATGCCATCAGAACGCTGATAATATTAAGTGTGTGTTAGATTCAGAAAATGTAGGTTTGCAAATAAATAGAAATTGAGTCTGCACAGGAAAGAGATTCAAGCAGCTTCTGCAGGAGCGGAAGGAAAAGCCCAACCCAACTTCAAGCTTTCTTTCTCCGAATCCCCTCCTACAGCCGTCTTTTATTAACAGAACATAACACATGGTTACAAAACAGTATTTGTTCTGACAGAACAACTGATCAGTTCATAAAGACAAGATGCTCCATCAGAATGACAAGGCAGGATGGTCTCCTGACTGAATCATGAGACAGGAGTGGAGCATCCCCCTTGCACAAATGATTCATAAGCACACATTCATTTTATAATCATTACTGAATAAACCTGACAGAGTGTTTTAGCCCCCCCCTTCAGTGTCCACCATATTGGATCAGTCCATTTGCTGGACATGTTCAGAAAGGTCCAAACAGACAGCAGCAAACCATTTGAAAACAAACCATGCAAAGAGCAGTGTTGCCAACTTAGCGCTTTAGTCGCTATATTTAGCCACTTTTCACTTTTCAGAGACTTTTTTCTGCTACTGGAGACTTTGGAGACAACATCTAAAAGCAGCGAACTCTGCTCTCCAGAGCAAGTAGATTGGTAACCCCGCCTCCTGCTCTCCTCTATCTTGTCTGCTGTCATGATTCATGCAGCTATTATTTCATCCAAATGAAAAATGGAGAACAGATAAGCAGATCATGGCTTGTCTACAGTGAAAAGAAGGACTGGGTTATTTACTTTGGCCTTTTTGGAAACACAGGAAGGAGCAATCAGCTAAGTGAGCTTAGTGCTTGGAAAAAATCTTTCATTCCTTTAGAGACAGCATGAAAAGTCAGCTGAGTACAAAACATAGAGAGGAAAACAAGAAGAAAAGGGACAAGAAGAGAGGGACACAACCTAGAACAGATAATGGATGTCTATTCTATTAACATTTCTCTATCTGGAGAATGGGGCTGTTTATTTGTTGTCTTCTCCATTCAGAGGGCCCCCTGCTTGTCTTTGCCTAGGGCCCCACATTTCCTAAATCCGCCACTGAGTTTAAGGGGCAGATTGATTAACTCAATTTTAATTCAGTCCAAATTTCAGGATAGACTAAAATAATCCCTCATCAATGGAACACAGAAAACATGAACCACTATAGCATCAGGAGGAAATTGGCTCTATGTACAACTCGGCCAAATCCCAAACCGCCCCCTATCTATCTATCTATCTATCTATCTATCTATCTATCTATCTATCTATCTATCTATCTATCTATCTATCTATCTATCTATCTATCTATCTATCTATCTATCTATCTATCTATCTATCTGTCTGTCTGTCTGTCTGTCTGTCTGTCTGTCTGTCTGTCTGTCTGTCTGTCTGTCTGTCTGTCTGTCTGTCTGTCTGTCTGTCTGTCTGTCTGTCTGTCTGTCTGTCTGTCTGTCTGTCTGTCTGTGTATATATATGTATATATATATGTATATAATATAACTACAGCTTGGAGGCAATTACTGAAATCTGGTGTTTTCTGCTCAGGAAATGCTCAGAGTTCTGCACCTTTTGCCATGGATGTTGGTTCACTGTTCATGAGCAAAGCACTTAATAAGTCAGGGACAGTTTGTTTTAAAAAAATTTTTTTTTTATTTGACAAAAATTTGAAATCAATAGTTTTCCTTTTTTCATAATTTGATATATTTTTATTTGACGTTGTTTATTGTTTATTCTAATTGCTACTGTGAATTTATCATTTTAAAGCTGGTCACAGTAAAAGCTGAGCCTATAGCTATGTCTAGGAGAGAAAAAGGACTAAACACTAAAAACAGGCCAAATTCTGTCATCTATAATCTAAGGTGTTGATGGCAGCAGCACAGCTGATATTTCTCTCCAGGATGGAGTCACAACCAAACAGGAACAGACCAGATGAAGCTACTATGAGAAACGGCAAAGATAACATAACATTAGGGGTGATAGTAAGAGAATAGAATTAGAGTGAAGCGGAGTAAGGAAAAGTGATCCCTATGTCCTTCAGCAGCATAAACCTATAGCAGCACAACAGCTAGCTCAGGATAACCTGAGCCACTCTAACTATAAGCTTTGAAAGATCGCTGAAATCATTCTCTATAGTAATTTAAATTCCTTTTCTGAATTATTTTCCCGTTTTGGCTCATTTGTTTAGTGAAAGTTTAGTTTTTCTGGGTCATACCACAAAGTAGAAGAGAAAATAAACAATAGAATTTTTTGTTTTTATTTTATGTTTTGTTAATATCCATTTATATATTAGATTATGTAAATGGATATAGTCACATATTTCAATGAATAGGTCCAATATTACCACATTGTTTATTGATTTTGACCCTCATTTGTCCCGCTATGTACAATTTTCTAGATTCACCACTGATCCTAATACTGAGAAATAATAACTTTTTTTTCTTTTCAAATGTAATCATGAATAAAACGATGTATTTATTGATAATAGTATGAAACTGATTGATCATAATCAGGTTTTATAATAGAATAACTTGATCTAGTCCAAATATTTGCTACCTCAGAGAAACCTGTCATCTTCAGTCTTCTTTCCAGCACTTATTCTGCAAAACTGAATCTAAAATGTAAAAAAGATAGAGGCCACCTCTGGGGTTAGAGAAGCTATTATTTTATGCATTTTAATATAACGTTATTCACCCTGCATAAAATTTCCTGCATTAGCCTGACAAAAAGGGAAGGTTTACTCAGACAGGAACTCTGAAATCCATCCAAGCAGGAAATTTAAATCACCACCATCCAAGTCAAGCAAACACAGACATAATTAGTCTGGCTTGTGTAAACCCTCCATCATTAGGGTTCAGTACACAGAGAGCTGTGGACAAGAAGCTCAAATAACACCTGAAAATAAACCAGGATATCCCTTTTGCTTCTAGCTGTTCTTTTATTAATAAAAACACTACAGCCTGTTTGATGACGGCTGATTAGTCGTTAACTGTTCTCTGTATTCAGTGGGTTTCTTTGGCGTCTCTGAAGGTGTTACTGAGGAGAAACATTCACAATGACCCGGATACTGTGGAGAAAAGAGACAAAAAAATTAGCAAAAGTGTGTTTTTTTCTCTATGGCGATCCTGAATCACAGTCTGGTACCATTTGCCGTTCTTCATGAGTTCGATGGCTTCGTTGATTTGGTCCAGCGCCATGTTGTGAGTGATGAACTCATCCACCTTCACCTTCTTCTCCAGGTAGGCTTTGACCATGCCCGCCACGCCATCTTTAGCTTTAAACCCTGGAACGCAAAATGATCCGAATGGATCCAAACCACAACAGAACCGGGATGCTGCTGAATGATGTCTGACCTCCAAATACTGAGCCTTTCCATGTGCGGCCACAGATCAGGTGACCAGGCCGGATGGCCACGTCGTACATGTCGGTCCAGCCTACGATCACGCTGACGCCCCAGGCTTCCAGGCTGGACTCCAAAGCACTGCGCTGGATGGACAAACGGCTCACAGTCACCAAACTCGGTCCGGTTCTTCAACATGAACACAAAACATAAGCCGCATTTCTGCTACCCTCTGAAAACCGATCCGTGCCGAGTTCAGACCGAGTTTGGATCAGTTTACCGTGCCGAGCTCAGTTCCTTACGACCGTTTACACATCATACTAGCACGGTTCCTCGCCTCCTAGTGACGATCTACGGTATTACTGCTCTCTAGAGGAAATACTGGAAATCAACATGGCGGCGCCCGTAACAATCTGGAAGTTTGATTATAATTGTGATATTTTGTTGTTTCTGGAGAGTCGGGCTAATAAGGCAGCCTTTGGTGAATTTACTTGACAGAGTCGGCTTTTGGGAAGTGGATACGACAAACGACAGTCTAATCATAGACACAGGAAACAACAACAGACGTTGAGGTTCATCACACTGCTAAGCAGAATCATCCCTGGAAATCGTGCGGCACAATAGGGATGCTAGGATTTTTATGAATGTCTGAAATTTCGTGAATCCACTGGGGCGACAGTGGCGTTGGATGTAGGAGTTTGCCCTGAAATCAAAGGATTGACGGTCCAAGCCCCGACTCCGACTTTCAGTGTCGTTGTGTCCTTGGGCAAGACACTTCACCTGCATTGTCTACTGATGGTGGTCAGAGGGCCCGGTGGCACCAGTGTACGGCAGCCTCGCTTCTGTCAGTGAGTCCCAGGGCGGCTGTGGCTACAGTGTAGCTTGCCACCATCAGTGTGTGCGTGAATGGGTGAATGAATGTAGTGTAAAGCGCTTTGGTCAAGTCTCCTGACTTGAAAAAAGGCGCTATATAAGTACCATGTATTACCATGAATACGGGGGCTGATTGTAAGGAGATGACGCGGTCTGGTAATGCGCTCTTTGTTATCTGAGAACCAGGCCAGAACTGAACCTCGCCAGGCCCTACTGATGAACTAGTACCAGTTTAGCGCGGCTCGGTTGTCTCTGGCAGGGTCTGGTTCAGATGTGCGTTCCATTTACACTCAACAGTTATCTTGTCACTGTGCTCGGATCTCGGTACAGTTTCAAAAGGGTCGTGGAAATGGGGCTAAATGCTGGAAAAGATTCTCTGTCATCCAGGTCAAAGTCATTCCAAAAAAGTTAAAATCAATCCACTGGACTTTGTTTCCAAGTTTAAAGACGTTTCTCTTCCATCCAGGAAGCTTTTTCAATTCAAAACGTCAGAAATAGCGTTGAGTTCCAGGTTTTATACAGTAGCTAATCAAAACCTCGTTTCTGCTTAGAAAACATGCAAATTGAAGCCAAACGACCCCCATTCCAAAGAGATGGACCCGTTCGTCTGTCTCAATTTGCATGTTTTCTAAACAAAAACAAGCCTTTTGTTGGGCTACTGTATAAAACCTGGAACTAAACGCTGTTTCTGACCTTTTGATTTGAAAAAGCTTCCTGGATGGAAGAGAAACGTCTTTAAACTTGGAAACAAATTCCAGTGGATTGTTATTTAACTTTTTTGAAATGGGACTATAGACGTTCCTCACCATGACCTCCACGTTTCCGACACACTCCAGAGAGAAGTCCACACCCCCGTTAGTCATCCCAGCGATCACTTCATGGATGGGTTTGCTGTGGTCTTTGGGGTTGACGAAGTCAGTGGCACCAAAAACTTTAGCCTTCTCAGCTTTGTCTGGGTTCACATCCACGGCGATGATCCTTTTGGCTCCTGCAGCTTTGCAGCCCATGACTGCAGCCAGACCCACGGCTCCCAGTCCAAACACGGCACAGGTGGAGTCCGGCTCGACCTGAAGGAGGCCATCAATCTATGGATTACTTCAGGTATTTACTTTAGTCTCTAAACCATTGGAGTAAAATTATTGCTGCAAACAAAAAATACTTTTTGTTTATTGAAACTCAACAAAAGTAATGCTTTTATATTTCATAATTTTTACACTGTATCATATTTGTTGGTGGAGATTCTCAGTCATCCAGGTCATACTGATTCAAAAAAAGTAAAAAAAACAATCCACTGGACTTTTCCAAGTTTGAAGACGTTTCTCTTCCGATCCAGGAAACTTTTTAAATTAAAAATGTCAGAAATGGCGTCATGTTCCAGGCTTTATACCCTAAGACAGTGACTGCCCATATCAAAGGGGTGGACCCATTCGTCCGTTTCAATTTACATGTTTTCTAAGCAAGACAAGGCTTTGTTAGGCTACTCTATAAAGCCTCAAACTCAACGAGTGTTCGGTTTCACAACGGCTGCTATCAGTTAGTTCAATCAATTTTAACAAGGTCCACCGGGGTTAATCTTGTGTGCAATCAGTATGAAAATCCATCACAGTGGAGCACCAGTTTGATGAGTCACAGGAAGAGCCTATTTCACCCCACTGGAACTAGAGATTTGAATGCAGAATGTTAATGTGTAAACATTAAAATGATACTTGGCCATTCTAACATTTATCAGCTTGACTGAAAATGTATTTATTATACGTGTAATACATTTCTTCATAGTTCAAATAATACAAATACTGACCAGTAATATTAGGAATATGGATAACTAGTATATGTTAAAACAGCTTGCCATAGCTGTTGTTACTGTGAAAATATTAGGGGATTATTTCTTGAATGCCATTAGATCAATGTATCTATTTAGGTGAAATCTTCTGGCAGCAGGTGAAAATTAAGTCTAAAAATGTTGTTCTAATATATAGACCCTGTGCATCGTCTCATGAGTCCCTCCTCATGTTTATTCAGTCTTCTTTTACACAGTAAAGTGTCTGTTTGTAGCCACACTTTGGATGTTCTTGGTTCCCCCTGGTTACATAAATGGCCGTTATTAGCGGCTATCAGACCCATAGAATGGCTTAAGATTGTGCCAGTGGGCTCATTAGGTCATTATCATCGAGTGAATCCTGGTAGTACAAACCTTGGCAGTATTCACTGCTGCTCCATATCCAGTGCAGATCCCACAGCCGAGGAGGCAGACTTTGTCCAGAGGCGCAGCAGGGTCTATCTTAGTCACTGCAATCTGGTTTATTACTGTGTATTCTGAGAATGTACTGAGTCCCATAAACTGATGAATTCTCTTCCCTTTACAGGTGAACCTGGATTCGACACCGGCCATAATTTCCTGACGAACTCTAGTCCTGGTCAAGATAATTATGAGTTAAGCACAGGTGGAATATATCAACATTTATTGAACTAGAAAAATAGAATACAATAGAAAAGGGTTAAACAATGAGGAGGGAAAAGAGAGAATGTTAGAGAAATAAGATCTCACCATGCTTTTTCACACTGGTTGGTCCTTGGACTCTTACAAAAACGACATTCCCTACACTGAGCGATGAAATGAGGAATCACCTTGTCTCCTAAAAAAAACAAACAAAAAAAGACAAGTCAACTATGGTCCAAATGAGGAGGCAAGAAATGTCTCCCTTTAATAACAATCGGAATGACAGAAGGTGCAGAGGTAGTTCAACCAGTAAAGCAGCCAAAAGCTCGGGTACCTAGCACAGATGGACTTAAGTATCTGGGGATAAAACATCCTAAGCATTGCTGTACCACAGAGAAGTAAAGAAGAGAGACCAAGCATGGCAGGAGCAGGTGAATGATAGGAACATGGTGGTCGTGAGACCTGCTGGATGAGTTAAGAGGAGTTAACACGGCAAGATTACCAGGCAGATTTCTGTCATGAAGAACATCAGGATGGCCTCTATGGCAAATGGTAAAGTCTTGACCCAATATGCTACAGTAGCAGTAATGCATATTATTTTCCTCTGACTCCACCCTTTCACTGAATTACAGGGTCTGACCAGGAGATGGCGCTTCTCTTTAGATCTTAATGTCCACAAATCATGACAGAAAGAATATTTTAGTATATCAGTGTGTGAGTGTGTTTGTTTGATCTTCACACAGAACTTTTAGTTGGTCCAACTGTACTAATTAGAAGTCTGAGGTGATTTTACCTCTAATCAACATATAAAACAGACTGTTTTCACGTTTCTTAAGACCAAATGCAGGATAACTCACTTCCAAATATATCTGTGAAGATTCCCAGTCATCCAAGTCAAGCTTGAAAAGTTCAGTTTAGGCAACTGGATGCAATATTTTCTGGAAGACGTTTCTCCTCTCATCCAGGAGGCTTTTTCACTTCCAACTAGTGGAGGGGAGAACTGAGACGAATGAACTTCACCTCCAGGAACTTTGGGACCCTAGGTATCTGCCTAGTATTGCCTAATGGTAAATCGGCCCCTGGGTATAGAGCACCCCAGTGGGGCTAGCCTGTGTCTATGCTGTAGCTAAGAGAAGGACCAATAGTCCTTCTAGGGTTAAATTTTAATGTTTTTTCCATTTTAATTGAAAAAAGCTCATCTCCTCTGTGCTCCTTCACCCTACATCACAACCTAATCTGGTACCTGATTTTTATTTTGCAGCACAAAACTACATTTAAGTTCAGATATTTAAACTCCTGCATCCCAAACTCCAGAGGTGCTTTGCTCTCGCTTCACTGTATTCAATGAAATCCTGCCTTCCGCCTTTCATTTCCATGACCTCCACCTTGCAGAGCTCCTGAGTTTCCCTCCAACATGTTTCTGACTGTTTCTGACTGTTTACATGTTTCCCTCCAACATGTAAACTGTTAGCTCCAGATGCAAAAATCTATTTGGTTTGAATGCAACATTAGCTTTGAATATTATCCAAAAAATTTAAAATACTTTCATGTGAATCAGGCCCTAAAAAGCTGAGTTTTAGATGGTTTGGACAAGAGTATTGAAAAGAACATGTATTTGGGATAAAGGATGTTTGAAGCTTCCTGGAAGGAGGAAAAGACAAAGACAAATGAGATGGTTTAATGATGTAGTGATGGATAAACCCTCCAGTTAGGTGGGACAAAGGAGGACATTGGAGACAAAGAAAATGGACAAACCTATTATGATATTTATGTGAACCTGTTTAATCTGCATGTTCTTAAAGGGATAGTACACCCAAAACATGATTAGCCTTCATTTTCTACTCACCCCCATGCTGAACAACACTCTGGAGTACTTTTTTGATATCTCAAATGCATCTGGAGATCTGGGAGGCTTCTTGCTGTCTGCTGACATTCAAATAATGGAGGTCTATGGCGCCCGAGGCAGAGAGGTCCATAAAAGTCCACAAAAAACGTGTCAATATTCCTCCATACTGCCCGTCCAATGTATTCCAAGTGTCCTGAGTGGGTAGCGTCCAGAATTTACTCGAAACAAAGTCATTTAGAATGTTTTTAGAGCATAAACAGTAGTGTATAGGATTTCCTAAAAGCGCGTTCACGAGTCTACGGAAACCGCGGCAGACCAAACCAGATGAAAGTGCGCATTCAGCGTCTGCTCTGCCGATAATGCAAGCGTAGAAGAAGAAATGTGCTGTTTACCTGTGCAAAGAAAGAAACAACGAAAGAAAAATGTCTGAGGACTTCAGTGTTGAGGAAGAGCATGAGTTCTTTGCCGAGCTGAATGCGCACTTTCATCTGGTTTGGTCTGCCGCGGTTTCCGTAGACTCGTGAACGCGCTTTTAGGAAATCCTATACACTACTGTTTATGCTCTAAAAACATTCTAAATGACTTCGTTTTGAGTAAATTATCGACGCTACCCACTCAGGACACTTGGAATACATTGGACGAGCAGTATGGAGGAATATTGACACGTTTTTTGTGGACTTTTATGGACCTTTCTGCCTCGGGCGCCATAGACCTCCATTATTTGAATGTCAGCAGACAGCAAGAAGCCTCCCAGATCTCCAAATGCATTTGAGATATCAAAAAAGTACTCCAGAGTGTTGTTCAGCATGGGGGTGAGTAGAAAATGAAGGCTAATCATGTTTTGGGTGTACTATTCCTTTAAAGCAATTTCCTGGTCATTTCTGCCAGTATTTGCTGAGCTGTATTTTCTTTAATCCCCACTCACCGGGCTGAAATTCAGTGACTCCAGGTCCCACACTCTCCACGATGCCGGCGCCCTCATGGCCGAGCACCGTCGGAAATCCACCTTTATTCATACTCTCCAAAAGGTGGTACAGGTCCGTGTGACACACCGATGTTGCTACTATCTGTAACAAAAACAGCAGTAGATATTAAATCATTAATGCAAATACAAATTGAGATTGATACTTTGACTGCTTCACAAAAAACAGATAGAAATTTAGGTGTAATGCAAACATATGACTACAAATATATTGGTCTGTGAAAACGTACATCGTCAGGGACCAGTTGTACCAGAAACAAGTTATTCCCAATGGTTCCTGGGTCTTTGCTGAAACTTAAATAACTGCTATTAGGGGAAAACACAACCTACTTTAGCTGTTTGAATAATACAAACAGTTTGTCTCATATTTGCAACAATAGGCCTTAAAGTCGTAGGGAAGCGGCTGTTCCAACTGTTGCCTTTCCAAATTCTCCCAGTGGTGCCCGACTTTACACGAGTGCATAAAGTGAATGTGATTGGTTGATTATCAAGGGGTCGGGATTGTTGTGGCGGAAGGTTTGCAAGCGTTCTGGTTGTGACTGGTTTCTTCGAAGCATCTTGCTAACCAGTTAGCAACTTAGTGCTAGCAGGTTCCCAATGGGAAATTCCATTGGGACCAAGTAGCACTAAATTGGTGACTTAGAAACGACGCTGTCAAGGAACGCTATGGACAGCGGAAACATGCAAGAGGAGGAGAGTTTAGTGTCGGAGGTCGTGGATGAGTCTCCTCCGTCATCCATTTTTTATTTAGAGGAGGAAAGCGGGGACGAAGATGTTGTGGAAGAGGACGCCAGGGCGGCAGAAGCTTGGTTTGGTGTAGAAGGCTTCCAGCCGTACATGTTTGAGCCCTTTCCTCGCAACGCTGCCAGTTCTGTTAGCTCTACGCCTGCCGAAGACACAGACGTCCATCCCCGTGAACACTGGGACGCAACTCAATGGGAAAGGAAAGGATTCTGATTTCAACCGTTGCGTATATTAGCTGCGACATATGAATCTAGATGCTATGACTGAAAACATGGTTTTAAGAACAAAAATTTTGAAAACAGACATTTTCAAAATTTTATAATATGGTCTGATAAAGAGTACATTTATATACATGTTTAAGGCAGAATGATTTTACATTTAAATATGATTTCCCTACGACTTTAAAGGGTTAAAGGGGGAAGCTGATGTGTTACAAGATAAAAACTTTTGAACCATCCCAAGCTATATTTAGACTTTCATGGAATGAATTAAGACGAGCTCCGAGCCAGCTCCCATGTCAGAGGATGAAGAGAGCACATCCAGTTAGTCACAGCCAGAGAAACAGGACTACACTGAAAAACAGGCCTGAAAAGCCTCCACGATGGAGAGAAATACAATAAATGTAATGAGAAATATCTTTTACCTTGATGCGGACCTCATCGGCCATGGGCGGGGCAACTTCAATCTCCTCTATGACCACAGGCTGGTCGGGCTCCCAGGCCACCGCTGCCCTGCATTTAATAACCTAAAGATGAAATGTAGGAAAAAAGTTATCTACCGAATTATTCTTGACAAAATTGTATTTTGCTTCCGTTGAAGAAAGCCTACTATGTGCTGCTATGCCTGCAAACCTTCATAACTAGGAAAAAAAAGTTGATACCCCCGCCTGCCTCCTTTGGTTTGAAAAAGGCTCCTTGCTACCTCCTTAGCAGTTGCCCAAAGATGTCTGCAGATGGCTGTTATTGGCATCACCATGACCAAAGGCCAAGGGCAAAGAACAAAGCCTTGGCAAGAGAAAAAACCATCATGGCTGAGGAGGAAATTATCTTCATCAGAGAACAGAAGAAATGTCACACGCAACCAGGGACATCAACCCACCTCCTATTTACACCCTTTAACTGGCAACTCCCAGCCAACTGGAAGGGCCTCTGAGGTTCCCTCAACACATGGCCAAAGCCAAGGCCACCTGATCATGCTGGAGCTTACAATGCCCTGCAAAGACCTGATGCAGGAACCCAACAAAGGGAAAAACACCACTTACCTGGCATTGCTGGATATATTCAGCAGCAGCGGATCATTCAGCTAATAACGATGGCTGCAGAGGCGCCGCTGATCACTCCTCTGCAGACTTTTGAGCTGGCTGAGCATCGCAGAGATACTTGAAGGAGTCATCAAACAGACATTTGCCTTTTGAAAGTTAAAACTTTGTGTCGGGTTTCAGTTAAAACATGCCAAACAATCAGAATGTGAAAGTGGCTTGGTTTTATTTGTGTCAGGTCTTTGTTCGAATCCCCCTCTGAACAGACCCTGATTTTGGTCCCGGATGGGTAATAACATGAGCCCACCTTGCTATCACCTCTCGGTAGGTGACTGGTGGCCTACTGGTTGAGCCATGGAGCTTTGAATCCAGAGGTTCTGAGGTTCAAGCCTCACTCCCACAGACTGCCACGCTGGCTCCCTAAGAAAAGACCCATAACCCCACACTGCTCCGCAGGCACCGCACCATTAACCTGACTCCGCCAGATGGATTTGCTCCGCATATCCATCTGGAAACCTTCCGTTGAAGTAATTTTGGGAAGGGGCGAAAATACTGGTTAGCTGATTGGCCTATGTTGGTGATAGACGGGCCAAATAAACCAATCAGATCAACGAAGCATATGAAATAACAGAGCAACGACGAAGAGGAGCCAATTGAAAGATCAAACTCTTGCAGAAACCAGTCGGGAGAAGAGCAAAAACATCTTTTCCTCTGAGAAAAGCCTCCAGAGCAGTGCTTTGCTCTTCTTTCAGTGAAGAAATACTCTGTAATTCCGCTAAAACTTGCTCGATAGCCACGCTAACGCTAGTTTCATCGGCTGAAGCCGCCATGTTCTTTAGACTGAACTGTGGCGCTTCTCGTTGCGTCACACCTCAGCCCGCCTCAAAGCCAACGCTGATTGGACGTTCGTTTGGTGAACGGCTCCAAATTTTCTTCAACAGAGAGTCTCCAGACTGATTAGCAAGTGAAACCTTGAAAGCTTGCGAGATCAGGATGGTCTCACGAGGCTACCGCACCATGGCACCCCATTGCTCACTAAGGGGATGAGTTAAATGCAGGCAGGGCGTTCATTTCGTTGCTCTGTACTTGTGACAGTGTAATAACAATAAAAAGCTGGAAAAAGGGTATAACCCTGCCTCTCAGGCAACTCAGACGGAATAAGCCGGTGAAGATGGCTGGGTGGATGGAACATAAAGTTAAGGGTTAAACTAACAAGAGAAGAATGGTAGAATAGAGATATAATGAAGCAGAAGGATAAAAAGGGGTCCCTATGTTCTCCAGCAGTCAAACCCTATAGCAGCATAAATATGGAGATAACACTGGATAACCTGAGCCACTCTAACTAGAAGCTTTATCAAAAAGGAAAGTTTTAAGCCTAGCCTTAAAAGAAGGCAGGATGTTTCCCACATGAAGCTAAACTCTACAGCTTTAATCCAGTTTTAGACATTAAACCCAGCAGGATGCCACAGGAGACGAGAGTTGAATAATAACTTTCTGTTTTCTTTTCAGCTGTAAATGTCAGAGGGATTACAAGCACCTCAGACGAGTTTCTTTCAGATGCAATATTCACAGGAATGCATAATTTGATCATACAATAAGTCCTGCCAGATAATATATATTGGTGCAAAAAAAAACCCTGATTCTAAAAAAACAAGATTATGTTTTAACTACAAGAATATGCCTTCAATTCTGGCCATGGATTAAACATTTTAAAAGGACATCCTGGAAGTTCATGACTAGGAAGAAATAAAGACTTTGAACTAAATGGTCTGACGTCTGGATGGATTTACTGGGATGTCCTCTCATGAACTGCATTTTAGAACCCAAAGGGTTTGGTTCTTACATTAGACAGAACAATAAATATTGGACAGAAAATCTAAATAAAAACATATCGTGATAATAAATAAAAAGACCTTTCAATTCAAAATCCATCCATTCATCCACAGGATAGGTAGAACTGCTGACTATCGCCCACAGTCTATGGGTGAAATGCAGGGTACAGCCTGGACAGGTCACCAGTCTATCGCAATTAGAAATTATTTTAATAATAACAACATATAATAAGCGGAAAATGGTAGAATAAAAAGAATTGATTGTAAGAAGACAGTCAAACTGATGGCAATCAACCAAAACAATGAGGAAACAACAACAAAAAACCTAAAGCAAAGTGTCTGAGGACTGTTTCTGCACCAGCTAACAGCTCAGCTTCTTTCCCCAGGAGTAACGTGACACCTAGCAACGAGCAGCAGTGTCAAGTTCACCTGTTTTATTTCTGCAGCAGATGGAATAAATCACAAGCTGGGAAGTAAAGTGAGACAAAGGCTGGAAAAAACAGCCCTCAGCTTACATGCTAAACTGATCAGACATGCTACAGACGTGTAATTCATCTCACCTTCCCAGCTGTGGACATTTTTCCCTGCAGAGATGATTGATTGATCCCAATTCAGAGAAGAGCTATGAGAAGATTGGAGCAGCAATTCAAAAGAACGAGCACAGGGGAAGAGGAAAAGCTAAACAGGCAAGGACTTTAACCTCTGGTTTTAATCAGGGCCTTCATATCCTGATTACGCACGTCACATGACAAGGCAGAGAGGAATGGAAAAAGGAAGCAACTTTCTCTGACTGCTTTACGGTTTGATCTGCATGTTGCTTCCAGCTCTGGATGAAAGAGGCTGAAGGCTGAATGCTGCCTTTGATCCAGTTGATCATAATATTCTTCTGCAAAGACTGTAATATTTTTTAGGAATAAGGATCTGACTGATTTAAGTTTGCTAATGACAAATCTTCCTCACGCTCAAAGGTTACCTGTGGAGTACCACAGGGATCAGTGCTAGGACCAATTCTCTTTACTTTATACATGCTCCCAATCGGTAGAGTTATTAGACAGCATGGGATTAATTTCCTCTGTTATGCTGATGATACCCAGCTATATCTGTCTATAATCCAGATGAAGCTAACCCATTACATAGATTACAGGCATGTCTGAAGACATAAAAACCTGGATGACTCTTAACTTTCTGCTTCTGAATGCAGACAAAACAGAAGTTATAGTCTTTGGACCAGAGTCTCTGAAAAAGAAGCTGATTAGTCAGTCACTTCATTTGGGTGGGATTAAACTGATTTCAGATAATAAAGTAAAAAATCTTGGTGTTGTTTTTGATCAGGATCTGTCATGTAAATCCCATATCAAAGAGGTTTCTAGAATTTCCTTATTTCATCTGAGGAATATTGCAAAAATGAGCAATGATTCTGAGAAACTAGTCCATGCATTTGTTACTTTAAGGCTGGACTATTGTAATTCTGGCTGCAGCCACAGTTCTGCTGAGAATTAAAAACAGCGATCTTATGTCTCCTATCCTGAGCTATCTCTATAGTTCTGCTGCTATAGGCTTAGACTGCTGGAGGACATAGGGACCCCTTTTTCATCATTCTGCTTCATTCTATCTCTATTCTCCCACTCTGCAGAATCTGTTAGTTCAATCTCTAACGTTCTGCTCTCTCTGCTTTTTCTCATAGTAGCTTCATCTGGTCTGTTCCTGTTTGGCTGTGACTCCATCCTGGAGAGAAATATCAGCTGTGCTGCTGCCATCAACACCTTTGTTTCTAGATGTTGGAGATCAGCCTGTTTTCCAGTGTAGTCCTGTTTCTCTGACTGTGACTAACTGGATGTGCTCTCTTCATCCTCTGACATGGGAGCTGGCTCGGAGCTCGTCTGCCTGGCTGTGTGTTTCCTGGACGGGGCCGCCTGTGGAGCTGGTTGACAGTTGCCTTTTGTATCTATGCTTCTTTTTCTATGTCTGCTTCTGTCTCCTTGAACCCCAGTGGGCCTCAGCAGATGGCCGCTCACACTGAGCCTGGTTCTGCTGGAGGTTTCTTCCCGTTCAAAGGGAGTTTTTTCTCTCCACTGTGAATGCAAACATGCTTGGTGTTACGGATTATTAGGGATGGGAATCTAAAACCAGTTCCTGTTCAGAACCGGTTCCGTGTGTTCCAATTCCATGGCACCCTTTGGCAGCTCGCTTAACGGTTCTCTTAATGGTTCAGTTTGACTTAATATTAGGCAAGAGAAAGATGGCAACAAGGTGCTTTGCCATCATTGCAAAGTGGCAATAACATCCAACATGCAGAAACACCTGTGCAAACACCATGGCATACATTTTAACGAATGCCTTGTTTTTGAAGCTAAAGTTACGACCAGCATGGAAGGAAACTCTGGTGGTTAGTAGCTAGTTTTCTATCACTGGCTGAGCTTAATGTGGTTCCTAGTAAATCAGACGCCATTTCTGGAAATAAACCAGTTTCCTTTCTCTCTTTAGGTTATAAAACATGCTACGAAGTTGCTCCGCAGTTCAGGGAGCCAGAAAAAGGTGACGCTCGTTTATTTAAATCAGGGGGAGATGAGTTTATTTCCCATAATTTTACAGTAATGCTTTTTCATTAAACGGATGCCTTCTCCATTAGATTTAGATGACTGTGAGGAGACAGGAAGCCTGGCTGGATCAGAGGCTGCAGCTCCCGTTCACTGCCTTCTGTTTTTACCGAGGCAGGCAGAGATAGAATGACCCAGGAGAAGGTAGACCAATGTCACCGTGCATTTACCAAGTTCATTGTTTCTCAGAATCTATAAGAGAGTCGATAAGGAATCAATTTATTTCACAGCATTGATAAGGGAATTGTGAAAATCTTATCAATTTGCAACCCTACGGATATGTTAAACTTTGAACCAATTTGACTGGATGATCTGTTTGAACTCTCTCTGTAAAGTGGAGTGAAATGACATGTTATAAATTGTTGCTACAGAAATAAGCTGAATTGAACTGAATAGGATTGAACAGAGTTATAAAGTTATAAAGCAACAGTTTCTGTTTTTATATAAAAATATTTTTTAAGTCAGTTGATTATGTCCATTAGTTTGTAGAAGATATCTGTAGCTGTCGATGGGTTTTGCTCTAAGGACATGCACTTTGTAAGGTAAGGAGATACACTTTGGCTTCCTGAAATAAAATGTCTGTAACTCATTTATTTCTGAGCTGGGTGAAAGTTTATCTCCTGTTTTATTTGCTTGTTGTCTTCCAGCACCAGAACCTCAATCTCTGCTGCTAATCTTATCATCAGAGGTGTCAAGTAACCAAGTGGAAATACTTCTTTAGTACTGTACTTTACCTGAATATTTATTTTCTGAAGATTTTTTATCTTAACCATCTATACTTGAACAGAAATTACTGTACTTTCTAATGCTGGTGAAGATTCTCAGTCATCCAAGTCGTAGTCATTTCAAAAAAGTGTTAGGACTCCAGTCTGTGTGTTTGTGTGTTTGTCTTCCTTCCTCCACCAGGCGGCGCCTGGTTCTGATTCTCCTCCTCACACACCTGCAAGGGGTTACCTCGTTAACGTAGTGCTCTAAAGCTGCTGACTGCCACTACCTCGACGCCAGAGTGTTTGCCAGTTTGGGGAAATCATCCTGCAGACTGGATTTTTCGGACCTTCTCTCCCTGGAAACATCTACTGAGCTTCAAACTGAGCTAAGGAAACAAAACGGAGGTTTGGATCCACTTTTCCCCGAGGAAACGTTTGAGTTTCACACTGAGCAAGGGATTCATCTGCACAACAGTCTGTTCAAGTACCGCAGGAAATCTGAGTGGCAGTCAGTCTCTCTCCGTTAATCTACAAGCAACCGCATTCTGGGTAACCCTGTCCGTCCTACACCGTATGAGACAAACACTGAAACACATTCCTCGCCTACTGGAGTCTAAGAGTGAACCTAATCTCTGGAAACGTGAATCTGCCAACCTTTTCTCCTCTTCAAGTTCGAGAATCAATTCTCCAACTGAGCCTGAACTAACCGCAGTGTCTTCCCCTCACCTTTCAGTTCCGGTTGAGCAGTGTTCAGAGCAACACTGGATTCTCCACCAAACTTCTCAATGAACCTGTTCAACTTTTTCCCTTGCATGTGGGTCCGAGCTCTTGATAAAATCATGACAAAAAGTTAGAGAAAACAACCCCAACCCCTTTACAGGAGAACAGAGGACCTCGTCTGTTCAGCCAGACTAACAATTCCCTTTAACGACCCCCTTTCCGAGACATAGACAGGTATGGGGCATTGCAGGCTAACAAAGAAGCCAAACCACCCCCATTACAAAGGGGGGGACCCGTTCATCCATTTCTATTTGCATGTTTTCTAAACTAAAACCAGGCTTTGTTGGGCTGCTGGATAAAACCTGGAACTAAACGCTATTTCTGACATTTTGAATATAAAAATCTTCCTGGATGGAAGAAAAACGTTTTCAAACTTGGAAACAAAGTCCAGTGGATTGTTTTAAAACTTTCTTGGAATGTACTTTCTAATACCTACTTTCTCCAAACTGGTGCATCATACTTCGTTACACATTAATAACTGTCGTGGTTTTTTGAGCCACATCAGTGAGGACTGTCAGGAGACACAGGATGAAAGGGGGAAAAGGTTTATTAACAGCTAGGATGATGATGGCGGCCCAGCAAGGAGTCAGCAAACGAGGAAGGCCAAGAAACTCTGCAAGGAGAGTTTTATAATTATACATACTGTATCTAAACTGGAACTGCTATGAAACTAATTAGCTTCACTCGTCCAGCAGGTGATAAACCCACAGGACTCTAACCCTTACCAACCACTACTTTTACAGTTAATTTTTTTCTTTTGAACAGATTTTTTTTTTTAAGTAATAAATGAACATTTATTATATATTACTCATTAATTTCAAGTATTTTTTCTAGGATTCATTTTCTAACATGAATCTGCAAAGTAGCAGTTTTCCTCCCATAAAACCCTTCTTACCTCATCCATCACCACGGGGGTCTAATTTTCTATCAGATGAGCGCCCAGCAGCTTTTCCTTCACAGAGGCAAATAAATCTATTTTTACCCCCTCAAGTTCCAGTCGGTGCAGAACAGGTTTTTAACTATCACCCAAAGTAAGAAACTGAGCAGAAAAAAGCTTGAGGAACATTTTTTATCTCTCATGAGAAAATAAGAAAAATTAATCTAATTCGAGAAGCTGCTGGTGATAAAGCTGCTTCTAGGTATTTCCTGCAAAAGTACAGCTCAATGCAAAATGAACAAGTAGACTGGAAAAGTCGAAACAAGAAATTATTAAATTCTATTCAGTTTATTTCTATAGCTCCAATTCACATCATGTCATCCCAAGGCACTTTACATTTCACCAGATCATCCAGTCAAATTTATTCAGTTTTCTATCTAAGGAAAACCAGCTGATTGCATCGACTCATTGACTCTTCAGCAATCCCTCACACTAAGCATGCTTATAGCGACAGTGGAGAGGAAAAACTTTATTGGAGTTTAGTTAAATTTCAATGATGATGTAGTTCCAATCAAAATATTCAGCCGAGGAGGTGAGATGATTGTAGGAGTTTGCTGTCAATCAGAATCCTGATGATCTCACTATGGAGAAAAACTCAGAACTGCCCGGATGCTGTAGAAATAAAAATACTTCCGGTTAGAAAATATATAAAATAATAGCAGCACGGATTTGAGGAGGTGTGGAAATCTACCACTGGCTGTGCTTCATCAGCTCGATTGCTTCATTGATTTGGTCCAAAGTCATGTTGTGAGTGATGAACTCGTCCACCATCACCTTCTTGTCCAGGTAGGCCTTAACCATCTCAGCCACGCCGTCCTTACCTTTGAACCCTGAGAAGGAAATAAAAAAAACATCATTGGTGTATCAATGGATGGACGATGGGGGCTAAGTGGGGCTGGACAGTAATTCAATATCACTACGTATTGCTGTGTAATTTCATTCAGTTTTAATAATATGTTATTTGTTGAGATATTGATATACTTTACAGCCTAGATTTGTTAAGCTGGACATACACTGCACAATGTTTAGCTACAGCTTAAACTGTACAACAAAACTGCGGAGTTTAAAAGTTCAGTTCAAATCAGTTGATTTCTTTCACAACGCATGTCATCTCAAGGCACTTTACAGTTTAAATAGTTTTAGATGTTGTTCATTTGGACTGAAATAATAATGAAGTTTTTCTTGTTTTAAAAGTAAAGGATCTTGTTCTTGGTAGATCGTCTTTCTGTCTCAAGAGGCGGGATTTCCGGAAAAGCAGCCAATCACAGGCAGTATATTTTCTCTGTTTGGTTTCTCCCTCAAAGTGACAAAAGTGGGACGAGCCCAGAAACGGATCCAAACATGAGGAGACCCCAACCCACGCCCCTTTACAGGGAAACAGAAGACCTCCCCTGTTCAGCCAGGCCAACAATTCCCTCTAACGACCCCCCTTTTAGAGACATAGACAGGTATGGAGCATTGCAGGCTAACAAAGAAGCCAAACGACCCCCATTCCAAAGGGGGGGACCCGTTCATCTGTTTCTATTTGCATGTTTTCTAAACTAAAACAAGGCTTTGTTTTTGGTCCACTCTATAAAGCCTGGATCTCAAAGATGTTTCTGACATTTTTAATTGAAAAAACTTCCTGGATGGAAGAGAAACGTCTTTAAACTTGGAAACAAAGTCCAGTGGATTTTTTTTTTTTCTAACTTTTTTTGGAATGACAATGACCTGGATGACTGAGAATCTTCACCACCGTGCGAAGAAGTGAATCTACAGGTGCATAAAAAGCAAGAAGTGTCATGATCTGGCCTGTTTGCTCTCCCTTAATTAGTCATTCCTTTCACCTGTCGTTTTCCCTCCCTGCCTCAATTATAATTTATTCCTCTCACCTGTTTCCTCTGGTTTATATTCAGTTCAGCCTGAGCATTCAGGGCCAGATCATTGCTTGTCTTTCTGTTAGCCTGTTTGTTAGTTTCACTCCTTGGTTCGTGTCCTGGATCCTAGCTGCCAGTGGAAAGAGGGGTTTTGTGTTTGTCTCGTCTCCTGATCGTCCACTGTTCCTCCCCAGCGGAGTCCTCTGGTTTTTTGGCTCAATATGGGGGGAGGTTCAGTTTTTATCTCAGTAAGCCTGGCTCCAGGGAGAAGACCAGTTTAAAGTCCTGCATCAAGTTCTGGTTCCACGTCCTGTCTCGGCTACCCTCTTCCACTGAGCCTGCCTGTCTGCACCTGATCCTGTCTGCTCCTGTGCATGACCACCTGGTCATGCTTCTGGTCCCAGTCAGACTCTGAACCCTCCTGGGATCCTGTGGATGCCTGGAAGTCTGGATCCTGCCACCTGTCTGTTCCTGTCTGTTCTGGATCCCTGAGCAGGATCGGCTTCCAGCATGTCCTCTAGGACTGCAGCACTTGGGGACATTCTTGGACTGGACTGTTAAACCACAGTGTCTGTCATTGGGTGGTTCCCCGCTCCCCATCCTGCAGTGTCCGTGAGCCACAGCTCCACTTTAGTTCTTTTGTTAATTTAATAAACCTTTTGAACTTTCCTACTGACTGTCTCTCCTTGAATACTGGGTCCATCTATCCCCGTCTCATGACAAGAAGAGCATGAACTTGTGACATATTGGTGGTCTCATTGTATTAAATCTGCGCACACAGATAGTTCAATATGTGTGTGTATGTGTCGGTATTTATTTCACGTTTCCTTTTGGCAAATATCTGTTTCCACACTGGAATAAAGACTCGGATGAAGTCAAACAACAACATGTCCTTGGTAGTCGCCTCACCTCCAAACAGGGTGCCGGTCCATGTACGCCCACGCATCAGCTGAATGGGCTGAGCACTAAAATTTGTGTCTGTCCAGCCAACAATCACACTGCAGCCCCATCCTGGAGTGCAAGACTCCAGCGCAGTGACCTAAACAACAGCAGAGCAGCAAGTCAAATACGGCTTCATTCCCATCTATGGCTGTAGAAGTTTAAACTCACCATAACTTCCACATTTCCAATGCATTCAAATGAGTAGTCCACCCCTCCATTGGTCATCTCAGTCAGCACCTGCTGGGTGGGTTTACTGTGATCTTTGGGGTTCACAACATCAGTGGCACCGAACACTTTGGCTTTCTCAAACTTCTCAGGGTTGATGTCGACGGTGATGATCTGTTTGGCTCCAGAGGCTTTGCAGCCCATGACTGTAGCCAGACCCACGGCTCCCAAACCAAACACAGCACAGGTGGAGCCCGGTTCAACCTGCAGCAGACAACACTGCCAGTCCCTCAGTAGCAAATCAAAGCCCTTCTTCACCACAGTTAAAAAAATATTTTTATGTTGTTCAAAATCATCACTTTCATTCAAATCATCGTTTTGTCTCTAAACATGCACAAATGATATCACAATTCATATTTTATTAAGATGCAAAAACATTTAAATCCAGAGGAATTATATCCAGGTGTTCACAGATATCCCTAATCTTCCATTAGCTATGACGAGTAAAGCTGTTTCATTCATCGTTGGATTGGTGACCTTAAATCCTCCCCATAGACTCTTGTTAAAGTTTTCCAGTGCAGCAGCTCCTCTTCAATGCTAAAGATAGGAGCATCCTGGGGAGCAGCTCTCCTGCACCCAGAGCTGAAAGCAGCTTTATTTTAAGACCACCTCCCTCCATAGCGCTGATGCCACAGTCGTCTGTTAGAAACTATGTCTGATTGACAGGTTTATAGGATTGTTTAGCTACAAGGCTAGGCTAACTGCATGCAGCGAGGCTAAGGCTTTATTCTGCTTTCCCTGCCTCCTTTATAAAACTTCAGGATCTGATCCAGCATGTATAAAGACAGCTAGGACTGATTTAAAGCGCTTTGCAGAACATTTTGGAATGTCGTTTTTTTATGTTGGCATTCATATAAATATATTTGTGAGATACCTTAGAGTACATTTTATTGGTTTTTGGTTTAGATTGATTGTTAGGTTTATTCAATGATTATTATAAAATTAATGTGTGCTTATGAAACATTTTTGCAAGCGGATGCTCCACTCCTGTCTCATGATCCAGTCAGGAGACCATCCTGCCTTGTCATTCTGATGGAGCATTCTGTCTTCATGAACTGATCAGTTGTTCTGTCAGAACAATACTCTGTTTGTAACCATGTGTCATGTTCTGTTAATAAACGCTCTGCTGAGGAGGTCCAGTGGGAGACAGTGCGTTTGAGTCTGGGGTTCAACTGTCTCTCCTTTCTGCAGAAATTGTATCCATAATTGTGTATTTCAGTTCTTCTTTTGCAAAAACCTACATTTTATGAACCCGACATTGATTTTGAAGTCGATTTCTGCTGCGACATTCGGATGGTAGGGTCAGAATTAGCCGTCTACAACATGAAAGCATGGATCCATCCTGCCTTGTATCAACGTTTCAGGCTGGTGGTGGTGGTGTCATGCTGTGGGGAATATTTTCTTGCCACTCTTTGGGCCCCTTGGTACCAATTGAGCATCGTTGCAACGCCACAGCCTACCTGAGTATTGTCGCTGACCATGTCCATCCCTTTATGACCACAATGTACCCAACTTCTGATGGCTACTTTCAGCAGGATAATGCGCCATGTCATAAAGCTGGAATCATCTCAGACTGGTTTCTTGAACATGACAATGAGTTCACTGTACTCAAATGGCCTCCACAGTCACCAGATCTCAATCCAATAGAGCATCTTTGGGATGTGGTGGAACGGGAGATTCGCATCATGGATTTGCAGCCGACAAATCTGCGGCAACTGTGTGATGCCATCATGTCAATATGGACCAAACTCCCTGAGGAATGCTTCCAGCACCTTGTTGAATCTATGCCACCAAGAATTGAGGCAGTTCTGAAGGCAAAAGGGGGTCCAACCCGTTACTAGCATGGGGTACCTAATAAAGTGGCCGGTGAGTGTATATATATATATATATATATATATATATATATATATATATATATATATATATATATATATATATATATATATATATATATATATATATATATATATTAAAACTGTTTTCTCCCCCCTGGTGGGGTGGTATGTGTCATCCTCAAGCTCGGGTCCTCTACCAGAGGCCTGGGAGTTTGAGGGTTCTGCGCAGTATCTTAGCTGTTCCTAGGACTGCGCTCTTCTGGACAGAGATCTCTGATGTTTTACCTGGAATCTGCTGTAGCCACTCTCCCAGTTTTGGGGTCACAGCCCCCAGTGCTCCAATTACCACTGGCACCACTGCTGCTCTCACTTTCCACATCTTTTCTAGCTCCTCCTTCAGTCCTTGGTATTTCTCAAGCTTCTCGTGTTCTTTCTTCTTGATGTTGATGTCGCTTGGGATTGCCACATCTATCACTACTGCCTTCTTCTGCTGTTTGTCGATCAACACGATGTCTGGTTGGTTAGCCATCACCTGTTTGTCAGTCTGGATCTTGAAGTCCCATAGGATCTTAGCTCGGTCATTCTCAACTACCTTAGGAGGTGTCTTCCATTTTGACCTTGGGACTTCCAGCCCATACTCATGGCAGATGTTCCTGTACACTATGACAGCTACCTGGTTGTGGTGTTCCATGTATGCACTTCCTGCCTGCATTTTACACCCTGCTGTTGTGTGCTGTATTGTTTCAGAGGCATCTTTGCACAGTCTGCATCGGGGGTCCGATGACTATATATATATATATATATATATCACTAATATTTCAAAATTCGCTCTTCTTAAAGCTGTAGGTGTTACAATGGCTTCAATAAATATGTGATTCACGCACCTTGGCCGTATTCACAGCTGCCCCATACCCTGTGCAGATGGCACAGCCAATGAGACAGACCTTCTCCAGGGGAGCAGCAGGATCGATCTTAGTCAAACTAAACTCTTTCACCACGGTGTACTCGGAGAAGGTGCTGATTCCAAGGAACTGCAGCACCTTCGTCCCCTTACAGGTGATCCTTGAGTTTTCACGGTTTTTCCCTTCAAGTGTACCAGCTGACCTAAGACAGTATATATTTCATTGGTATCATATAGATCCACAAGCAAATGAAAACATAGCTGAATAGATATAAATAACAGAATAAAACAAGGAGCTCTTTACCCTTTGACACACAGGTTTGTTCTTGGACTTTTACAAAAGCGGCATTCCCGACACTGAGGCATGAACAATGGGATCACCTTGTCTCCTAAATAAAAAAACAAGTTGCACTAATTCTCATCACATTTAAATCCAAGAAGATGTGTAGATTGAAAATAGAAGTGGCCTCACTGACCTGGCTGAAATTCAGTGACGCCGGGTCCAATGCTCTCCACTATACCAGCCGCCTCATGGCCAAAAATGACTGGGAAGACTGCTGGTTTGGCGCATTTCAACAGGAAGAACAGATCTGATTGACACAATCCGGTTCCCACAATCTGGAGAGAAAACATCAGAAACAAGCTTAAATTGTCAATGAATGTCATGATTGTAGCCCCAGTAGCAGATCTGATTACTAACTTCATTCACCTGCCGTTCCCTGTCTGCTTTCTAATTATAATTTATCTTGTTCACCTGTCTCTCTTCTATATATACGGTTTAGCACAGCTATCTGGGCAAGATCATTATTTCTTCATTTATTTGTGTATTCTTAGTTCATTTGTGTTAAGTTTTTCTGTCACTTATTTATGTTTCATGAGTTTTATTTAAGGCCAGTGTGTTGAGAGGGTTTAATGTTTGTCTTCTGTCTCCTGATCGTGTCCCGGCTCTTCTCCACTGAGCCCTCAGAGTTTTGGCTCGGAATGTGGTGGAGGTCAGTTTTAGTCCCCGTAAGCCTGGCTCTTAGGATCAGACCAGTTTAAAGTTCGGCATTTATCCTGGTACCATGTCTTGTCTATGTTCCCCTCTACCACTGAGCCTGCTTGTCTCCATCTGAGCGCGTCTGTCTGAGCTCGCTGCTGGACTCATAGAATTCTGAACCTGTCTGAACGCTCTGAGGATTCCTGGAACCCTGGATCTGTCTGTTCCTGTTCGGACCGCAACCACTGTCTACGGACTCCTGGATCACGGAACTGTCTGGTTCTGAACTGTTTCTTTGACCTGGATTGGTCTCCTGCCTGCTCACTGGGGTTGCTGCAACAGGGACGCTTTGGACGGCTCTGAACTGCATCCTGTTTGGCCGTCCATCGGCTGGATCATGCCTCCCTCGAAGAGGAGTGACTGAACTGTTAAACCATGTAAGTGACTCACTCTGATAATCATCTGCTGTCAGGTGATCGGGGTCACCTACCAGTGTTTCTCCCTCCAGAGTGTCAGTGATTGGGCGGTGCCTCCTGCAGCCCGCTTATCTTCAGCATCCTATGTTTCTATTCTGTATGATAATTTCTGTCATTAAACGTTCTAAAACTTCCCACCGTCTGACTCGCCTTGAATACTGGGTCCGTCTGTCCTGTTTATTACAATGGTAGCATCACATGCATTTACAGAGTTCTCCAGTCTATAGCATTAGCATCTTTTTTATTCTCTGACCTTAATCCGGATCTCTTTCTCCTGAGGAGGTTCCACCTCAACCTCTTCAATCACCAATGGCTTGCCGTACTCCCACGCCACTGCTGCCTTGCACTTGATGACCTAAAGAAATGTGTTGTAGACGTAAATATCACCACAGTCTGCATCAGCAGTGGCAAAGGAAAACTCTTCAGCTGGTACATGCTTCCTTTATTTTCTTCACTACCTGAACATGAGGTTATTGACTTCCTACTTTCAAACATGCATCAGAAAAGAGTTGGACAGTTGGTAGTTTTGTGCAATTTGACCAGAAGACCACTAATATATGAAATTATTAGAACTGGAAATTAAGGTAATTAATTAAGGTTGTCTTTACCCATTTTACTAAATCAGACACAGAGGGCATAACGTTATTAAAGTTGGTGGGGACTCTCTAAAAGGGTGGGTGATGCAGCTTCAGGACCCGTCAGCTTTCCTTAACCCTTTAAAGCCCGATCCAAGAATAAAACAAAACAGAAAATGACTTTTTTTTGGTTTGAAGTCCTTATTTGCCCTTTCAACTAAATATGTAAAAAGAAAAAACAGAAATACATTTTTGATATTAATAATTTATTACTATGCGATAAGTCAAGATTATTTTTGTGTAGTCTTCTTCCCTCTGTTATCAGCTATATCTGATTGTGAACAATAGGATTTTGAGCAAAGTTTTTACCATTAAATTATGCAAAAGGTGTCAGACGCAAAACATTTCAGAAACCATAGGTATCAAATACGATACATTTGGCATTATAGGGTTAAGTTTTGATATTTTGCTTAAAATGAGCACAAACATAAATGGCAATGCCAAATCTCTATTTCATAATTGCCTATTGATGAGAATGCAACAGTTACACAATACACTAATATTTATATTATATATACAGACAAACAGATGCCTTTTAGTGCCACATTTATAAAGTGCTTTAAATCATTGACAACTTTCATAAAATAGGAATGCATTAAAATATAGCGATCCTGGAACAGAATTGGTTATCTCAGCTGGCACCAGGACACCCGGTTCTGGGGGGGCCCAACTAGTACAAAAGGGTTGGAGAACCCACAAAATGGCTGCTACCATAGGTTGCTTAGAGCTAACGATGCTAGCCAGCTACTCTTCAAATGGAAAAGAGGAGCTAAGCAGACAGTAACACACAGCATGGGTCGTTCAGTCAGGCTCAGTGAGCATTAGCATTCAGTTCAGAACTATTATTGAAGAACCATCTGAAGTTAAATCAGAAAGTTTCTTCCATATAAAAAAAAAAATCAAAACTTATGAAAATATTCTATAAAAGTTGAAAATTTACTTAGTGTTTGTTTGAGGCAGGCGTCCCCATAGTGGGTCCTGGAGGGCCACTGTCCTGCAGGTTTTAGAGGTTTCTCTGCTTTAGCACAGCTGATTGCAGTAGACCAAAAGCCTGTTAATCAACTTTCAATTAAAATCAGCTGCTGGAGCAGAAAACCTCTAAAACCTGCAGGACAGCGGCTCTTGAGGAGAGACTTTGGGGATGCCTGGTTTAAGGGTTTAGTCTCCTGCCATAGATGGAATCTTATAATAAAATGAACCTTTTATGAGGAAGAAAAGGCTCATCTTAGGATCTGTTTAAGAGCAGATTTCCTCATGATCTAAGAACATTAACAGAAAGCGGATTTTCTAAACACCTATCACGCTGAAACCAGATAGAACGACTCTTGCACAAGCAGTGGTTTAAAGTTCACTCAAAACTGTAAACGTTAGTTTTGCTGGATTCCTCGCGGTGATATATTTTTATCGATTCTAGCATGCATGAATAAAGCACAGGATAACGCATCTCATTTACACATAGTTTGCTTTTATAATTTTGCAGTTTGTTATTGTTGCTTAATAAAACCATTTTTAAGTTAAAATACTTCCCTAAAGTTTCATTAAGTAAACCACCAACAGGAGAAGAGCTCAGACACAACTAGCAGATCTTCAATAAGTTACTGTCAAATTTAAAACCAGTTATGACTCAAAAGGTGAATGTTAAAAGAAAAGATCCTTGTTACCTTCCCAGCTGTGGCCATTTATCCTGCTGAAGGGGAATGTTAGCTGCTCAGGTAGAGGCAGGGAGATACAAACCCCAGAGTCTGGGACTTTACCCTCTTCAGGTTAAAATGTCACCTTTCCTGGCAAACCAGAACCCCAGTTACATTTTAAGCAATAAACACAAATTGTCCATTATACCAGGAATGGCAGAGGATTTTATTTGATCAGAAGTTAATTATAATTATACTGTAACCAAATGTGAATGACCTTATAAAAATGCCATGCCCTGATCCAACAATTCTCGCAAACTTTGGACCTAAAAACTTTATATCAAAGGCAAAGGTTTTATGTTGGTTTAACTCCTCTGTTCATTTAAACCAGGCATACACTGTATGATTTTTTTTGTCCTTCTCAGGCCGATTTTCCAGTTGTGTGAGAGTTTTTTCAATCAGGAAGAGTTTTACCCTCATGGTGCGTCCTGCGTGGTGTAGTGTACAGGAGGTAACGAGGGGCGATCAGCCTCTAACGACCACCCCCCATCACGGATCATAAGGTCAGAAGAAAATCAAACATGTTTGAAATTCAGTCGACCGTCTTAAGGCATTGGTGGACAAATCCTGCTGTTGAAGCAGAACTACGAGCCGATTTACCAGAACCTCGAGCTCTGAGCATGTGCAAAGGGAGTTCTTCTTCTTCCAGATTGATGACTCTCACCAGCGCCATCTATCATTCACAGTGTGAATCGGTAGATAGTATCAGAGCGTTGGGCCGCACATTGTGAGAACAAACATTGTGAGAACAAACATTGTGAGCTGTGAAATTTAAAAAACTGCAATTTCATTGTATAGTTTGGGCTGTAGCTGTGTTCAAAGAATGAAAAATTCGTACAGTGTGTTGTGCCATAAACCATGATAATAATTTTGGACATTGAGAACCAATGTCGATGTTTCATCCTAACATGATCACTGGAGAAGAGGTTGCTGTTTTGCTCATAAAACAGCTGTGAGAACTCTTCTCTCTGCTCTGCAACGCCCTCTTAGCCAATTGGCTCCACAGGACCCCTCCTAAAGGTTTGCTTTGGCCCCCCCGCGGAGCTGGAAACAGTAAAAAAAAACCACAGCACAGAGGATCTCTCTCTTTCCGTGAAGCTGCCTGGGGGTTCACATCGGAAGAAGACAAAACAATGGCGCCAGGCCCAAAAGGCCCAGATCTCCAGAATGATCAAGGATAAGTCATGGTGGGGTTCCTCTTTCAGGGTTCCTCAAGGTTCTGATTTAGGTACACTGCATTTTAAGCTTTATTTTACCTTTGCATTCCAGTTTTAGAAATCATAAAATCCCCTATATGGTTTTGCTTATGATGTTCATGACCAGCTGACTGTTAAAGATCCTGCTACCTCTGTTTCTCGATTTTGTTGCTTTCTTCTGCACTTCTCTCTCTCTCTTTGCTGTCACCACTCTCTCTCTTTGCCCTCCCTTGGGGTAAAGCATCCTCTCACTTTGCCTAGTGGTCAAGGTATGTAATTACAATCATTTTTCTTTAAAGGAAAAGTCCGGTCAGATTCGGAATACAAACTTCTGAGACTACTTAAAGTATGAAATGATTCCATCATGTTCAATAAATGATCAGTGTTTTTAATTCAGAGTAATTTCCATGTGAATGTGCTTTACTGGAGGCATCCATGTTTGTCAAAGAACACTACTGCCACCTACTGGTTAGTGACGTCACGGTGCGGTATCGGCTGTTGATCAAGTCCCAGTGCTGTATCTGGTGTTTGTCACAACGCGCTATTATCCAAGTCATCTTGAAAACATTCTTCTTCCAAATGTTGGCTACATATTACGGGGTTTTTCTCTGGCCAGAAGTTCGATGGCAAATCCTCCCTCTTCAAGTTGGCGATCCAACGACCAACCCGTCCGTGGAGGATCAGGAATCAGAAAGGTGGAATAACTCTTTTTTTCACTTTTACCCGATGTATTCCAGCATCCAGCTGCCATGCACGTGGGCATTGTCAGTTTCACTATAGCTCTGGTGAATTTCAATGGTGAAGTCCTCTGGAAATCTTCAATAATTGTTGCTGATTGCAGATGTGTCTAGTAGTTCCCATTGATTTAGCTTGGAAAGCGGGGAGAATGGCGCTAGGCTTACCGCACCGTGGCGTCACTGCTGGAAGATGGCAGGAGGGAGGGGCTACTATATTTGGGCAAAAATGGCGGCTCCCAGACTCTGTGATCGCCATGAAAATTATTGTTTTCATTTTTTTACTGATTGACGCTAAATTCATTAAATCACAGCGAATATATTAATTTTAGGAATAAATAATGATCTATTGAGTATTCCTCGCTGACTGGACTTTTCCTTTAAGACAACAATTGAAAGTGTGAATGGAGTTCAAATCATAGCCACAGTTATATCTGCACATAGAAACAACTTCCATTTAAGATAAGGGAATTTATAAACAAAAATAAATCCTCCTGACATCAAATGTTGTTCAGATAAACATTCTTAACTGAACTAGTGAAAATCAACTTTATTATTTATTTTTGTGTACAAAAAAGGAATAAAATGATTGAAAACCAAAATGAGTGAAATGATTCAGCCTAGATTTTATTTTTAAGAACCAAAATTTATCTTGAAGAGTTTGAAATGAGGTCAAATTAGCTTTTTACTAATTTAGAACAAGTTGAATGTGTTCAACCCAAATTACAAAGCAAATCCAAGAGGTAAATAAAACATTATTTGGTAAAATAATATTTTGAATGATTTGCAAAAATCAGAAATCAATGAACCCCAGTGGGCCTCAGCAGATGGCCGCTCACACTGAGCCTGGTTCTGCTGGAGGTTTCTTCCTGTTCAAAGGGAGTTTTTCCTCCCCACTGTCGCTACAAGCATGCTTAGTGTGAGGGATTGCTGAAGAGTCAATGAGTCGATGCAATCAACTGGTTTTCCTTAGATAGAAAACTTTGTATCAATCTGACTGGATGATCTGGTGAACTGGAAAGTGACCTGAGATGACATGATGTGAATTGGAACTATAGAAATAGACTGAATAGAATTGAATATCAGATCTGCACCATTTAGTTCATTGTGCAGGTTGGACTCACCTGCTTAAATGGCTGGACAGAACAAATGTATCTGTACCTGAGGCATAGGTGTTTTTGATCAGGGCAACCAAAAGTTTTTAGCCTTTGACCCCAAAAATAAAGATTCAACAAACTGGCAGCCCCCTAAAAATTACTTCTCTATATACATACATATAGAGTTTCTATGTTTAAATTTAAATATATTCATATTTCTCTAAATAAAATTCAGTTGTTTGATTAATCTAAAATCTAAATTTATCAAAATGTAATTCATTTAAATGTATCTTTAATTATTTAATAGGACTATAATTATTCAATTGCATATTTTACAGTTTAGAGGTACATTTAATATTTTAATGATGTAAAATAAATAAATCACATATTTATTCCATTGTACATTTTTAAGAGACATTAAAATGTATGTATATCATATATTTTGGAGCTCCATATATCTTAAACCAGCTTGTCCTACTCTTGGTGTCTTGCGACCCCCCCAGTGGTCCCAACCCGTATTTTGGGAACCCCTGTTTTAGAAGTTTACTTCAGATGTGGCTCAGGTCTTTCCTGGTCTAACAATTGATTGTTTTAGGACTTGATGCAATGCTGGTTTTATGGATGTAGTGCCTAGTCCTGCCAGCAGGTGGCACCTTTAGATGAGGGTCAGGTAGAGGTCAGTGGTTTTGCTCTGTTTACTGGGGGTTTAAACTGTTTAAACAGGGGGTCACTGGTCTGCTGGAACACATCTGGAATTCCTCCTTTAAATCATAACTCTTCATCTGGCAGCTTCTAAACTTCTGGGATAGCAGAGAGTTGAAAAATTCTGCAGAAGCCTCACGATTCCTTAAGATTAAGATAATCAGAGGTGAAGATCTTCCGCAGTTTTATGTGCAGCTCTTCAGTGCTCTGGAAGCATTGCTAAACCTTAAAGTTAAAGGTAGGGATCAGTGTTCATTTAGAGGGTGACTAAGAAAAATAAACAAGCACAATATTGTCCAAATTAATCCACAAGACGTGAAGCTTTTGCAAAGAACATGTACACTCATATTTATACACCTATGATGTCTTCTTCTTCTTCCAGCTTTTATTCTGATTCCACTGTCACAAGTACAGAGCAACAAAGTGAATTCTCCACATTCAACCCGTCCCCTTGGGGAGCAGTGTGGGGTTAAAGGTCTTGCTCATGGACCCAGTCTGTGGGAGTGGGGCTCGAAATAAGAACCTCAGGATTCTAAGCTTTATGCTCTAGCCGCTTGGCTGCTCCTCCCGCTCCAATGTCTAAATTAATCATTTGTGGTTCTGGAAAAACCATAAAAGGAAGAAGTTGTTCTTATTTTCCAAAGGTAACAAAAGTATGGAGTGAATTTTGTTCTATTATTTTTGCAGTAAAAAAAAAAAAACATATTTAAAAAGGATTTTGAATATTTAATCCAGAAATGAAACTTTTCTTCATAAGAAAAAGGTTGTCACTTTGTTAAATTATTTGATTTTTTCAAAAAGTATTTCAATCCCCCCCCCCCCCATATTTAATTCATCCAAGTTGTATTTATTTTCATGTTTTATTTTTCTATTTATCTAGCTTCTATTTTCAGATTGAGTTTTAAGAACCTCATTCTTTTCATATTGGGTTTTTCAGATCACATTCCTTTCTTGGGGCGGGCTTTCCTCTGCAGTGAGGAGTAAATATACAATTCTATTAGTCTGCTTTGGCAACAACGTGTTATTGGTCAAGAGCAAATATTGGGCTTGAAGTGAAGAGAATGTAACTCATAAAACATAAACTGAAAATAATATAATTTGTAAAACTATAATCCAGAAAGTAAACTAAAGATGGAAAAAAGTTCATTTCATAGATAGGAGTCTCCAAAATGACTTGCAGAGACTTTTAACTCTTCTGTCTCCCAGAAAAAAAACCAGGGGGGTTGCAGTTGCCCGAGGCAAAAAGCAGTTGCCTAGGGCCCCAAGTTCCTGGGGGCCCCATAAAACTCTATTTACATGTATGGTTAATACAACTATTCCTTATTTGTGCACATTAATTATGTTTTTGATAAAAATCCTTTGGCTAAAATGCCATCAGAACGCTGATAATATTAAGTGTGTCTCAGCCCCCCATTCACTGTCCACCATATTGGATCAGTCCATTTGCTGCACATGTTCAGAAAGGTCCAAACAGACAGCAGCAAACCATTTGAAAACAAACCATGCAAAGAGCAGTGTTGCCAACTTAGCGCTTTAGTCGCTATATTTAGCCACTTTTCAGACCCCTCTAGCACTTTGATTTCTAAAAAGCTCCTAGCACCAAATCTAGAGACTTTTTTCTGCTACTGGAGACTTTGGAGACAACATCTAAAAGCAGCGAACTCTGCTCTCCAGAGCGAGTAGATTGGTAACCCCGCCTCCTGCTCTCCTCTATCTTGTCTGCTGTCATGATTCATGCAGCTATTATTTCATCCAAATGAAAAATGGAGAACAGATAAGCAGATCATGGCTTGTCTACAGTGAAAAGAAGGACTGGGTTATTTACTTTGGCCTTTTTGGAAACACAGGAAGGAGCAATCAGCTAAGTGAGCTTAGTGCTTGGAAAAAATCTTTCATTCCTTTAGAGACAGCATGAAAAGTCAGCTGAGTACAAAACATAGAGAGGAAAACAAGAAGAAAAGGGACAAGAAGAGAGGGACACAACCTAGAACAGATAATGGATGTCTATTCTATTAACATTTCTCTATCTGTAGAATGGGGCTGTTCTATGTGTTGTCTTCTCAGTTCAGAGGGCCCCTTTAGAAAGTTAGTATATCAGTTCACTGATGTACCTAAATAGTTACTATTTTTTATTGTCAGTTTATGGTTATTTTTTAGTAATCAGGATTTGAAGATTAAAGAGACATTTTGTACGTTTTTACTGAAAAAAAAACATCTTTAAAAAAGCTAAAACAAACAAAATGTTTTATATTCAACATAGACATCAATGACAACTCCATCTAAGGTGATAAAACTAAGAAAAATCTAACTGGTGAAGTACGTTAAGTACGTAGCTGCAGTTCTTTGTTCTGGCCACAGGTGGCAGTATCATCAACTGCTTATTGCCTCTTTAAAGGAAAAGTCTGGTCATATTGAGAATTTAAACTTCTGAGTGCTTTAAATATGAAATTATTACATACAGTTCAAACAATGATAAGTGTTTTTAATTCAGAGTAAGTTTCATTTGAATGTGCTTTACTGAAGCAAAAATGAAGCAGCTTGCGCGTTTTGCTGCTTCTGCTGCTAGCGGTCTGAACGTAGCATTATACAAATTTTATTGTTGTTTTGTAGACACAGTGTGTGCAAACGAAATTTCGTATTGTCCAGATCTCAGACAGTGAATGAGCAGCAGCTTAGAAGCGAAATGAAAATTTCCATTCCATTAAGTGATGCAGTGATCTAATAAAAGTAGACCCCACCCCACCCTTTGTCTCCAACACAAAGAGAAACAGTCAGTTTAACTGATTTTATTTGCTCCAAAGTGTTAATGATCAGACAGGCAGATATAACCATCAGCCAGGATTGATGATCCTTTAGCTGCATGCTGCCAACAAAGGATAAAATCCTTTAGATCTGATTTATTTTAACAGTTTGAAAGCAGCTTTGTTAACTCATTCTGATGAAACTTTCAGGACCGTCCGGATGCTGTGGAGAAAAAGGACAAAGACAGAAGAAAATACCAATTTGTTAAGTTTTTAATTCTGCTTATTTTAAGAGAAATATTGCTTGTTTTTGTTAGAAACCTTCAGAAACGTACCACTGGCCGTGCTTCATCAGCTCGATGGCATCGTTGACCTCACCCAGAGCCATGTTGTGAGTGATGAACTCATCCAGCTTCACCTTCCTGTCAAGGTAGGCCTTAACCATCTCCGGGACGCCATCTTTACTCTTAAACCCTGACACAAAATACGGCACATAAAAAAGTACTGATTAGTTCTGTTAGTCATCACCCCCCCTTCCTCATCCTATAGCCCCTTAGATTATGGAAATAAATTATCATTAAAAAGGCTGAAATATCTTGCATGTTTCGGTGCAACTATAGATTTTTCTCTAAAAATGTATTAAAATTCCTTGTAATTTTATTTCCCATTTAGTCCCTTTGACATCTATAGTAAATTACATCTTAAAGGCCTCATCAAACCAAAACAAACCAAACTGACGTATTGAAACACTACAATCCTACTGACAATCAACCCTATGAACATACTAGCTATGCAGGTTTTAACGTTTCTGCAAATGTTTTTAAACATTGGCTGCGTATTATACAGCATATTATTTCCAAATGTTTTATTCATCTCTTGGATTTGCATTGTGAATTGGCTTGGCAATTACTATTTAATTACTTACGTCTTGGTGGGTTTTTTTTAGGCGTGTGGTGATATGACTTTAAATAATTTTTTTTTGTATATGACTAAAGGAAATTTAAGGTAGTGTTGCGCCGATGCCATTTTTTGACTCTGATACCGATACCTGGCTGTGCAGTATCGGCCGATACCGATACCAAAATAATGTAAAATAGTTGCCATCATGGCTTCATGTCAAGCTGCTGCCTTCCTTTGTGAAGCAGGAAAAAGACTAAAACAAAGTGAATCCAGTAGAACTTTTTATTGCCTGGAATGAGTGACAATGGTTGAATAAACTTATGGCTCTCAAAATGGTTCTCAATTTGCCAGTTTCCTTTTCACCTCACTTCCTGAGGGCCAGTATCCTGCAACTTTTAGATGTGCCTTTGGTTCAACACACCTGAATCATGTAATTAGATGATTGAGAGGACTCTCGAGGAACTGACTGCATATTGAGGAGGTAACTCAGTCATTGGATTCAGGTGTGTTGAACCAAGGATGACTACAAAGAGGAACTGGAATTGCCCACCCCTGATCTAAGGGAACTGTTTGAATCAGATAGTTGAAACCTGGACACCCTTAGGGATTCGGATCCCAAGCTTACTTGAAGTCAGAGGAACCTTAAAAACATAGTTTAACTGTAAAAAAGTAACATAAAGATGATGTTTGACTAGATTTGAATGCTCTGGTCTCACCTCCAAACAGGGTGCCCTTCCATGTACGGCCCGCGATAAGCTGAATGGGTCGGGCAGCAAAATCATCTAAATCTGTCCAGCCAACCAGAACGCTGACACCCCAACCTTTCACACACGACTCCAGGGCGCTTCGCTGCACAGAGGAGACAAAAAAGTCAGACAACTTTCTTTCTTAGAGACTTTAGTGTTCAAAGCCATGTGGAGTATTAAATGTTGAGGTACGTCTGTTCTTAGCCTCACAGGCTCCAAACGAAGGTCATGAGAGATAAGAATGAGTCACACAGCCTCCTTCATGGCATGAAGGGGGGGATTGCTGTTATTAAGCAATCTATCTGGTCAGTGGAAGATAGATTAACCTAACAGGGAACGGCCTTGATCAACTCAAGTTGTTTTGTTTCAATGTTAAAGTGTGAGAGAGTTCTTTATGCAGGGGGTGGGTTGGTTCCCCTGGGGGGAGCGTGTGTGTTGGGAAATTGTAAGGTATGAATGTATGTACTGAGGATGCCTCAGTCAGAGCCTTGCTCTCCATCTGAGGACGTTAAATAAATTTAAACCTTATTTCTTGCAAGAAATGCCTCAGCGTCCTAACTTCACGGCCATTGTCCTCACCATCACTCCAACATTTCCGACACACTCCAGGGAGAAGTCCACCCCTCCACCAGTCATCTCAGCTAGCACCTGGCTGATGGGTCTGCTGTGATCTTTGGGGTTCACATACTCAGTGGCACCGAACACTTTGGCTTTCTCAAACTTCTCGGGTTTGATGTCGACGGCGATGATCCTTTTGGCTCCCGCAAACTTGCAGCCCATGACCGCAGCCAGACCCACGGCTCCGAGACCAAACACAGCACAGGTGGAGCCCAGTTCAACCTGGAAGACAACATTCATCAGCTGGGTGGGTCTACACAGTACCACATTACAGACGGCTCTAACTTCTGGTGTCTTTCACTTGGCACTCCAGTTATCACCTTAGCGGTGTTAACTGCTGCTCCAAAGCCGGTGCAGACCCCACAACCAAGGAGACAGACTTTATCCAGAGGTGCAGCCGGGTCGATCTTAGCCACAGCTATCTGGTTAAGGACGGTGTACTCGGAAAAGGTGCTGGTCCCCAAAAACTGCAGCAGCTTTTTCCCCTTACAGCTAAGCCTGGTTTCCTCCAAAGCCATCACATCATAGCGGTCAGCAGCCCTGGACAAAAAGCGGATTATCCGACTTCACACTGCGAAACAATAATTGATCTGATTAACTGACTGAACAACTATGAATCAGATTTACCATCCTTTGACACACTGGTTAGTCTTTGGGCTTTTACAAAAGCGACACTCTCGGCACTGGGAGATGAACAGGGGGATGACTTTGTCTCCTAGACATGAAAGAGGTCATTTTAGAGAAGCTTTGAGGAAGGCAAGTCAAGGCAAGTTATCTATGTAGCACGTTTCCCGCTTCTCCCTGGTTGGTTCTGCAAAATAGATTTAATCAGCAGACCTTTTTTAGTAGGACTGGCTGTTGATCCACTGACAACTAGTCTGTGTTATAGTCATAATTTGGAGCAAAGCCATTCAGTTTATAGACTAGAGCCAAGACTTTAAAGTCTGTTCTCTGAGATACGGGGAGCCAGTGGAAGAACTTGAGAACTGGGCAGATGTTCTCTACTTTCTATAGTTCTAGTGAGGACGCAGGCAGCAGCATCTGGATCAGCTGTCTGATCTACTTTCTATAGTTCTAGTGAAGACGCAGGCAGCAGCGTTCTAGGATCAGCTGTCTGATCTACTTTCTATAGTTCTAGTGAGGACGCAGGCAGCAGCGCCTGGATCAACTGCAGCTGTCTGATCTACGTTCTATAGTTCTAGTGACCAAACTTGGCATTATGACCAAAAAACTAGTCGCTTTGTAATCTAAAAAAAAACTGCTGCTTTGATTCCAGGTCCTCCCACTCCGTATCCATGTGCCCCTGAGCAAGGCATCTCGACACTAGGTGCCTCTTGTTCTGTTCATGAATTTAGTATGAATAGAAAAGCACTTTATAAATTCAATACATTTATTGTTTCTCTGGTCCGTCTAGAGGAAGTTTCTTAGAAGTCTCGTCCTTCATTCAGACATGTTGTACATCTACAGCCTGATGAGGCTGTTTTCACTCACCTGGCTGAAATTCAGTGACACCGGGCCCAACGCTCTCCACTATGCCGGCTCCCTCATGTCCAAGAACCACTGGGAAACCTTCTTTGTGCATCCCCTCAAACAGGTGGTAGAGGTCGGTGTGGCACACGCCTGTTGCCACAATCTGCAAACAGGGAACAGCACTGATCCTGAAGCTTCAAACTAAAACTTAACATTTCATCTGGACAAAGCCTCACTTGACATTTAATGAGCAAAGCAACTCTCTGTCCAAACTGCATATTTGGCTTTATGTGTTGATTTCAGAACATCTGACCGACTGGCTGTTTATCCTTTCTTGGAAAATCACGAGTGAATCCATGTGGGCCGTTCACACAGAGATAAACATGATGGCTGTGTAAATACATCACATTATTGCATCATAGCTAATTCAAACTTCAAGGAAACTAGCAAACACAAAAATGATACTAAGACATAAAACCAATGCACAGGAAAAGTAGCAAAAAAGAGAGAAAATATAAGAAAAGCTGCAAACTAAGGCAGCATAATAGAAGAACTCCAGACCACTAGGGGGAGACTTTGATCATTATCTCCCATTGCACCAGAACAGAAGGCGTTACTACAAATAAATAGCTGTGTCTGAATGTCCGCCCTAATCACCATATAGTGGTTACACCCAGTGCTCAAGTTAAGGGGGGGTTAGGGTGGGTGTCATCCCCCTTCTTAAATGACCATCACCCCATATCTTCCCATGTGACATTTTATTACCGAATGTGTTAAATTTCTACTACATATTAACAGTAATGGCAATAATATTGACAAACAATTGGCGGGCTGTGTGCTTACAAGTAGCCTGACTAAAATAAATAAATAATTATGAAGCTGATCCCAGTGGAAAATTAGTCCCCAACTATGTAGGGGCAGCGCTAGCCATGCTAACTCTGTAGGGGCAGTGATAGCCATGCTAACTCTGTAGGGGCAATGATAGCCTTGCTAACTATTTAGGGGCAGAGATAGCCATGCTAACTAAGTAGGGGCAGTGATAGCCATGCTAACTCTGTAGGGGCAGTGATAGCCATGCTAACTCTGTAGGGGCAATGATAGCCTTGCTAACTATTTAGGGGCAGAGATAGCCATGCTAACTATGTAGGGGCAGCGATGACCATAGGGATGGAGGGAGATCAGAGGTCAGGGATTAGTGGACCGCAGTCCGGATCCAGACCCCCCTGCTGTCTAATCTGGACCCAACCTGATTTAAAACATTTATAAATTACTGCACGTTGTCCGACAACAGTATCCAACTTCATTTGCGCCGCTTCTCCTGTTAATACGGTAAAGCCCTGGGGAGCGTTCGGCTCCAGGCTGCACGTGATCCAAATGAGCCAATGAGCTGTCAGTCTGGGTTGCTGCTGTTGCTACTTTTAGACACAGCAGGCAAACCTGTGGCAAGCCGGGCGATGGGAAAGAAGGAGAAGACCATGAGAATAAAATAAATATGGATCCAGGCTCAAAATGTCTCCATTTAAACCCAGGTTTAAAGCCTTGCAGGGCAGCCTAAAGCCCACTGCTCTCATTAAGACAGAAAAAAGAAAGAAAAGAACAAACGCTCAGTTCAGGTGTTTTATAAAAAATGTGAATAAGGGAATTGTCTATATACCAAACTGAACGATTGTTGTTCTCTACATCAAAAACAATTTAGATTTTAAAATGGAAAAACATTTTTGTTTTATATTATTTTATTTTAAAATGTATCACATGGATGCATAAACACCTTATTTTATTTCAGTGATAAATGCTGTTTAAAGTAACAGATTACAATTAAAAATGTGTCCGGACCTTTACCGGTTGATGATTTTCTTTATTCGGACCCCGCTGATCCGCCCTAACCTCTAATCCAGGGTTAACCCTGGATTAGAGGTTAGGGCGGATGTTCAGACACAGCATACAGCAGATGTCAAACTGGTTCCAGAATGGGTCGGGTAGCAAAAGGTTTTCTTTCCAACCAATCAATAACAAAACCAGACTCCAGTCATCTCATCAAGTGAGTCTAGTCTTAACATGATAACTTGATGAGATGACTGTAGTCTGGTTTGCTATTGATTGGTTGGAAAGTAAACCTGCAGCCACCCGGCCCGTTCTGGAACTAGTGTGAAATCCCCGGCCTACAGTATGTCTATAGACAAGAACTTTAGCAAAAACATAAACGTGATGCCGTCCAGGGGAGATCTGGAGGAAAGAAAGAGAAGGTACGTTTTCCTTTAAACCTTATTTTTTTATTATTTCTTTTATTATCCCATTAATGTCTTTACTAAGGATCTGGTCCCACATGATACCATGATGGTCTCCCCCTAGTGGTCTGGAGGTCTTTGGATAAGCGGCATTAGTTTGCAGCTCTCTTGCACTTGGAGTTTCTTTGCATATTTTCTTACCATAAAGTTGTGAATTAGCATTATTTATGTATCTGCTGAACATCCATTGATCAATAAATGATTACTTTAGGTTTTAATGGGACAGTCTTTCTGCAGGGTGTTAATCCCCGACCTCAACGAGCAGTCAAAGAATAATTTATTCGATATTATAGTTCCACTAATTAAAATCAACTTGTTGGGTTGTTTTCTCTTTAGCTTTTAACCAAAATTGGAGTTCTCTCCACAAACCTCTGACTTCAGGCGTCTGGCTGTGATCATGTTTGTGTCTCGACGGCGGTAATCTCACCTTGATGCGAACCTCATTAGCCTGAGGCGGATCAACCTCGATCTCCTCGATGACCAGAGGCTTGTTGGGCTCCCAGGCCACCGCCGCCTTGCACTTGATGACCTAAATGAGTGAAGACATGGGGGGGAATTGCTGTTTCTGCTCTTAAATTGTAACTCAGGAAGGTGTTTGAACAATTTACTGAAACCTCAGAGGACCTCAACTTGTGACAAACATGAACTGAAAAGCTTTCAGGTCAAATTTCCGACATCTCTCAGGATGTTGTGTTTAGAATGGCTTTCAAGGAAGAGCCAAACTATTTCAGTGAAAAACAAACAAGAGATCGAAGTCCATGTTTTATATGGCAAACACAACCCATTCTATCATAATCATTTAGTAAAACTCTGCAAAGAAGATGATTTCTGACTCACAAATAGCCTTTTGACGTCTTTTAATATTCAAACCGGATTTTATGGTCCGGTTTTCTATTCCTTAGGCTTAGACTTTGTCATTTTGTGCACACAGAGTGTATACAAAAAGGAATTTGGGTTAGTACAGCTCCCAAGACATTTCCATTTTTAAAGCGCAGCAGTGATAAAAAGTAAACAGGGTGATCAAATGTAAACAGACTGGTTTATGTTTAACGGATTCCAACATTCAGCTCTGTTTTTTTTTTTATGGAGGGAAGAGGGCACTTCTGGGCCCTTCTGACCAGTGAGGTGGTGTTTCCAGTCCAGGTGAGGGTGTCTGTGATGAATGTGGTGCCGTGGTGTCGTCTGCAAACTTCACCATGTGATTGGTGGTGAACCTGGGAACACAGTCACATGTCATCAGGGTGAACGGCAGGGGGCTCAGGACGCAGCCCTGAGGGCAGCCTTTGCTTAGACTGATGACATCAGAGGCGTTCTGTCCGACCCGGACTGACTGAGGTCTGTTTGTGAGGAAGTCTAGCTGCCAATAGCAGAGGGGTGTATTGAAGCCCAGCTGTTCCAGTTTGCCCATCAGATGCTGTGGGATGATGGTGCTGAAAGCTGAACTGAAGTCCAGGAACAGCATCCGCACGTGGGTGTTCTTCTCCTCCAGGTGTGCCAGGCTCAGGTGGAGAGCAGCAGACTGGAGACGATGTGTTCTTTAACCAGCCTTTGGAAGCGCTTCATCATGACTGGAGTCAGTGCAACAGGCCGGTAATCATTGAGTGAGGTGACCTGAGGCTTCTTTGGGACTGGAATAATGGAGGCAGACTTGAAGCATGCTGGCACTACGGATCGGTCCAGTGAGGTGTTAAAAATGTCTGTAAGGAAACCAGCCAGGTGATCTGCACACTCCTTATACACCTGCCCAGGTATGTTATCAGGTCCCGTTAGGGTTGAGTTGAGTTCTGTTGTTTTAGCGATTTCTGAACCTCTCCATTTATCCGGGTGGTTGGTTGGCCTGGGTGGTGATATTCTTTTTAATGCTGACGTCCTCAATACATTTGTAGATGTAGGCTGACAGTCATGGCATACTCATCAATATTTTATAAGTTGTCATATGTTGCTGCAGCCTTGAAGATGTTCCAGTCAGAGCATTCAAACAGTCTTGGAGTGTTTCCATGGCCCCCTCAGACCACACTCGGATCTCTTTAACTGTCGGTTTAGCCCTGATCAGCTGGGGATTATGTGTAGGGATTAGCATGACTGAGAGATGATCTGAGGACACAAGGTGGGGGTGGAGGGCTGCTCCGAATGCATCTTTGATGTAAGAGTAAACCAGATCTAAAGTGTTATCAGCCCGAGTTACAAAGTCCACATGTTGGTAGAAATGAGGGAGAACAGTCTACAGGTAAGCCTGATTAAATCCCAGCAATGATGAAAACACCCTCTGTGTGCAGATTGAAGCTCAGAGATAGCCTGGTATAGATTCTTCATGGCCTCTTTAGTGTTAGCGCTGGGGGGAACATAAACAGCGGTGATGCTAACCACACTGAACTCTCTGGGCAGATAGAACGGCCTGCAGTTAACGGTCAGAAACTCGATGTCTGGAGAGCAGAAGCTGGCAACCAATCTTGCATTTTTACACCAGCTGTTGTTGATGTAAACACGGGCCCACCACCTTGAGTCTTGCCGAAAGTTAAGTACTTTGAAAGTTCATGATATAGTGGATCAGGGTGGATCATCAAAATAAACTGTAATAATATCGGCAGTGAGTCTGACATAGTGGAAAAATTGCAAATCTTCTTTTTGAAAGTGAGCTTGTATGAGTGATGCAAACAGCAACTTTTAAACAGAGCGTGCACGAGGAGAAATGGGCTCGTGCATGCCCTCACACGCGTTTAAAGTCGTAGCAAAACGGCAGTTCCAACCATTGCATTTCCCAATTCTGCCGAATGGTGCACGACTTTTCACGAGTGAATAAATTTAATTTGATTGGTCGTTTATCAAGGAGGCTAAGGGTTATCAAAGGGGTTCACAAGCAAGTTTGATTGTGGCTCGTTTGTCGGAAGCATCTTGCTAACCAGTTAGCAACTTAGTGCTAGCAGGTTCCCAATGGGAAATTCCATTTGGACCAAGTAGCACTAAATTGGTGCCTTAGAAACGACGCTGTCAAGGAACGCTATGGACAGCGGAAACATGCAAGAGGAGGAGAGTTTAGTGTCGGAGGTCGTGGATGAGTCTCCTCCGTCATCCATTTTTTATTTAGAGGAGGAAAGCGGGGACGAAGATGTTGTGGAAGAGGACGCCAGGGCGGCAGAAGCTTGGTTTGGTGTAGAAGGCTTCCAGCCGTACATGTTTGAGCCCTTGCCTCGCAGTTCTGTTAGCTCTACGCCTGCCGAAGACACAGACGTCCATCCCCGTGAACACTGGGACGCAACTCAATGGGAAAGGAAAGGATTCTGATTTCAACCGTTGCGTATATTAGCTGCGACATATGAATCAAGATGCTATGACCGAAAATATTTGATTTAAAGATGACCGTTGATATATGATTGGCTGAATCTAGGTGTTCAGGCTGACGTAGAACTAACTGGCCTGCAGAAGATAACAATTTTAAGACATTTTTTTTTTTATATAGAAATGTTCTAAATTTTGGGACAATATCATCTGATAAAGTGTACATTTATATAGATGTTTAAGCCAGAATGATTTGACCTTTAAATATGGCTTCCCTACGACTTTAATAAGCGTTCCCTGTCGAGCAGGTAAAGTGTTATGTCTGTGCATTTTTTTTTAAAGTTGAGAGGGCGGGTCTTTTCAAAAATCCGTGAAAATCCTCCATTATACCTTTAATGAAGTGCTGAAGGTGATCACTCTTATCTACCTGGATATTCTCTGGAGGTCTGAAATGCCTCTGACAACCAGTTCAGTCTGAGGGTCTCTGTGGGCAATGAGTCAAGTTTCATCTCCTCTCTCCGTTTCTGCAGCTTGACGTTTTCTTGCTCATGGTTATTCATGTGCTTTTTAAACTGCATTTAACCAGCTTTTTACAAACCATACAGCTCTCTGAAAGTAAAAAAATGCCAAACGAAAAAAGTCATGAGTCATAATTTCAACTTTCAAAGTCATAAGGTTTTTGCAGTTGACATAATTACGACTTAAAATCTAAATTCTGTTTTTCTATTTGGCATTTTTTTGTACTTTCATGTGGCGGAAACAGGCTTCCATAGTTTCTGTTGTTTTAATTCATGGTATTTTCTGCTTCGATGGTCTCTCTCTCTATCCGGCATCAGAGCAGCGTGGTTGTTTGTGTCTAGAGTGGAGAGAGAACTGAGTGGCGGGGGTCTGAGCCAGGCACGAGACGGGAGGGGGGAGCAGCAAAGAGCTGTAATTGTGCACACAGGAGATTGATGAATCTGCTGCAGTTAATGAGCGCGGGAGAGAATTAAAAGTATTGATTTTCTTAAACGAATATTGTTCAATATCAGTACCAGCGTTGGTATCGATAGTATCGATCCACTCACCTCCACTCTGGACGCTTCATGATGGCTAATATCAACAGATGCATAAAACTGTCAGGATAATTTAAAATGCCTCAAACCTCAGATGAAGTTAAATAATTTAGTTTCTCATTAACCGTTTATAGGGCAATAGTTAAATACTTTGAAAAACAAGATTTCAAGCCAATACTGTTAAATCAATCCAGGACCAGATCTTATTATTATTATTTAAAAAAATATTTGATGGCAAAAATTAGTGTCAATTTAATAACAAGAAACGCCAACTTGACCGAATATATTAAGAAAAATAACAAAAGTGCTTCTAGAAGAAATTATCAACTTATTAACTTTTCAACCTTTCAGTTAGTTTTTTTTTAACCTTTTTTTCTTGACTTAACTTTTTTTCAACTTAATTTCCAGTAGATAATCTATCTTTCAAGGGTTCATCTAATTGGTCGAATGCCAAAATCTGATGTACAGCCATGTAGCAGGATCTGCTGAATGCTGGATATAGATCTTGGGCTTCTAGACCTTACTGAGGGATGGAGGGGGGGGGGGGGGGGGGGGGGGGGGTGTATTTGTAAGGGGAATGCAAGGGATCAAAAACAGTAACTTGCCCTATAAAAGCAGAAGAAAAACAGATTTCAAAATATTATCATTTTTTTTTTAAGTGGAAGATTTGTTGACTTAAAAAACAAAGACCCCGTGTTTTTTTAATGCAAAACTAAGTTTAACTACAAATTCAAAGACTACAAACGATTGCACTAGTGTTGCCATGATGAACAGATCACCTACCTTACCAGCTGTGGCCATTTCTGCAGAGAATCACACTGAAACACTGGAGGAAAGCCTGAAACACGGGAGGAAAACCTGAAACACTGGAGGAAATGTGTAACAGCTGCAGGACGGCAGACGGAGGAGAAGGAGTCAGATTTGAGTTTGGCTTAAATCCTGCAGCTGAGGCAGAAGTTACGCAACAGCGGCCAGGGGGGCGTTGCTTTTTGGACACTATTTAGCTTATTTATTCTATCAGTTATTTAAAAGGAATACAGTTTTCAGGCAGTTAATATTATGTCTCCTTACTGTTAACATTCATCCAAACAAAAAAAAACATTGCTTTCACCCGATGAAACCTTACACCATTTCTAAAAACAGAAAATAAGCATATTAAGAGATTAAGACGTTAAATCTAGACCAATGAGAATCTCTTCTCATATTAATCTCAGATCTAATCAGTTTTATTTAAAACAATCTAAACATGACGTCCAGAGATGCTCAGTGAGGACTTCAGATACAAAAAATAAGAAAAACAAAAACAAAGCTGAGTGGAATTTGTGGCTGGATTGTGGCCCAGCTGCTGGGTCCAGCTCACATGATTTTATGAACTCACTCCCTTCTGTGTTAAAACAACAAATGAAATCAAGGGAATCCAGCTAAAAAGAAGTGGATAATTCTGCATATCTATGCAATAAATTCACCACAACTTTCTTCTAAAATAAGAGTTTATTAACAAAAACCCTCCAACTACAAGTCAAACATATTTCAGTTAGAAACTCAGCTAAGAAAGTTTGATCTAGTCTGAGTCTAAGTAACTAAGAAAATAAAAAAATGTAAAATCTGTAAAAAAAAACAAAACAAGGAAAACCATAATTTAACAAAATTAGATATAAAAAAGGAGTTTTAGGGCCAGGCTAGATATTTCTTTTTTTCTATTTTGAGAATAAAGTCATAAGATTACGAGAAAATAGTTGTAAAGTTCCGAGATAGTTATTATAGTTCCATTTAAAACTGGGCCGGGAACACACGGAGATAATAAAGTGTGACCTGACCTGTGATCACACACACTTTGGATGTTATCATCCCATTAAATGTCCGTTATTAGCGGTTATCAGTCCAATAGAATGGCTTCAGACTCTTACTCCTACCTACTAGCAGGCTCAGTAGGTTGGTATTACCCAATTAATCCTAATCCTAAAGTAATTCCTTTTTTACCCACAGAATGAATGTATTTATGTGTAATCTGAACACAATTGTAGTAATTTTTTCATCTGTAGAAAAAAAACGTTGATTGGCATGTCGCTCATATTGAACGCCTCCCAAAAAAATCTCATATCCTGCAAACTGAGTTGTTTTCAAAATCCACATTAAATCCATGTGACTGAAATGTGCTTTAAAACATATTTTAATTTTAAAGAAGGTATGCTTTAAATAAAGTAGATAAAAAGTATAAAGTAGGTAAATAATAAATAAAACTTAAGGTTTTAGATGTGTTATCAACGATAAGCTGCTGATGATCAATAACGGCCGTTTCATGGTTGATCACATCCAAAACCGGGCCGTTTATAATAACAGAGGCAAAAAAAGATTGTTGCCTCACATCCAGAGAACACTGCGCTCAGAGATTAACAGCTGTTAATCTGGACTTTCTTCAATCAATTTATATTTTAAGACGTAAATAAGAAAATATAAACAAGTTTAATTCATGCTGTTACTCTATGATAGGCAGAGGTGGAAATAACAAAATACATTTACTCAAGTTACTGTATTGAGTAGGTTTTGTGTGTATTTTGTATTTTTCAAGTAGTTTTTAAAATCGGTATTTTAAATTTTACTTGATTACGTTTTGAGTGAAGTATTGTATTTTGTTACATTACAAATCCCATCCGTTACTGAGTTAAAAAAAAACTTTGGAAAACCGAAAGGAAGACAAAAAACGGGGCCCGGAAGCACTACAGCGAGTGACGTGATCAGCATGTAGATCTAGGCTACCAGGCGCCAAGTCTTTCTGTAGGAGATTGGGAACGAGATGGAGGTGGATCAGGAGAGCGACGACGGTTCAGAGAACGTTTCACTAGAAATGCTAGCTGAAACATCGAATTCTGCTGCCCAAAACCACGAAAATCCTTGGCCACATTTGAAAGACTGCTTTTCATTTAAATTCAAGAGGGCCAACAGTATCATCATGCAATGCCAGATGTGTCTGCCAAGGTGACTGAACAGGCAGGATTCAATAACTGCACATCTAATCTGCGGAAGCATGTTTTGGTAAGTATTTAGTGCATCGGTACTTCAAACAAAGTTTTCATGACTAATAGCCAATTAGCAAAACAACCTGTTTCGTGGCATTGCTAATTTTGTCTAGCACAGGGGTCGGCAACCCGCGGCTCTTTCATCCTTATGCTGCGGCTCTGAGTGGCTTGGGAAAATAAATTGCTAAAAAAAACTAAGTATTTCATTTAAGTCAGTGTTTCCCGCAGCACTATCTTGGCGAGGTTGGCAACAGTTTTTTTTTTTTACCAAGTACAGGGTTCGTACACCTTTTCCAAAGTCAAAATCAAGCACTTTTCAAGCACTTTCAAGATCCATTTCAAAACTTTTTCCAGCACCTTACACCACCACCAGTTGTCGGCCGGAACCAGTTTTACGCGGATGACTGCCGGGAGGGAATTACTCCTCTGCCACGGCGTAGTAATATAAACAACCAGAGGGTGTCGCAATTATCAGCCGTAGAGGTATTAATGCTGTTATAAGGTCTGGGCCTGGCAATGAATTAAAACTTTTTTTTTTTTCTTTCTTTTTTTTTTTGGAACGTTGGCGAGGCGGTAGCATGAGTTTGGCGAGATAAGTGCCAAGATAGTGCTGCGGGAAACACTGCAACACTAACATTACATTATCACACCATACTCTCAGTCACTCAGTAACTTAGCCTTTGAATTCCTAGCTAGCAGTTACTAGCGTAAACAAATAGCCGCTAACGTTAACGTGTACTAGGCTACTTCAGTTGGCTTACTTAAAGAGTCTATGACTTACCCTTCATGTGACTCGAGAGCGCAGACTCGCCCATTGTGAAAAGCTGCACATCTTTTTTGCAGACTTTACAGGAGGCGACTCGTGGGGTTTGTTCCCGTTTAATCCATAATTTGTATTTTTCATCTTCCAGCCAACGTTCATTGAAACGACAACCTCCCGGCATGGTGCAGTAGTGGTTTCATGGGGGCGGAGTCACACATGGAAATAGACTGGCAGATCGCAGTCACACATAAGCGAGCAGGTTTCATTTTCGGGCTCTCCAACATTTTATTTCTCCATTTAATAAACACACAATTCAGTTAGATAGGTATTTGTTGCGAAAGAAATAGTTACAATTTCAAGCATTTTCAAGCATTTCATCCAAAATATAAGCACTTTTCAAACCTTGAAAACACAACGTCAAAATTCAAGCATTTTCAAGGATTTCCAGCACCCGCACGAACCCTGTAAGTAACTTTTACTTAAGATACATTTTAAATGAGCTACTTATTACTTTTACTTGAGTAATTTTTCTGATGGGTAATTTTACTTGTGCTTGAGTAATATTTCATCCAAGTATTAGTACTTTTACTTGAGTATGATATTTTAGTACTTTTTCCACCTCTGATGATAGGTTAATATATACCCGTGCCCACACAAAGTAGAGACACCTGCTTTTGTCCTCAAGGCACTGTGGGGGGGGGCACATTGGTCCCTAATGTCCAATGTTATTATGGTGGTTTATGGCCCAACAACAACATCAGAAAGAGTTTAAATACATAATGATCTATTTTCGTTATGAAGTTAGAGAAGAATATCGTGGTCGGATTTCAAGCGTCACCCAGACCTGCTGAGGAGTTCATACTGTGATGTCATAAACCTCTGATACCATGTTAAAGAAAATTATTAAATGATGAACTGGAATAAAGAGAATTCCTCCAGATGCGTTTATTGTAGTCATGGTGATCTGGTTTGATTGGGGCAGCTTCTATATGAACGTTTCTATGCAGCGTTTCCTAAAGTGCATCTTAGATGATTAAATGTGTGGCATTGATCAACAAAAACTCATCCAGCACCAGCATTTTCCTCTAGAGACTAAAAACGGGAGCTTAATCCTCCAGCTGGGTCCAAATCATTCCAGAGAATCACTAAAGGCATTCCAAAACAATTAAAAAATTAAAAACAAACCACTGGACTTTGTTCCAAGTTTGAAGATGTTTCTCTTCCCATCCAGGAAGCTTTTTCCGTTCAAAATGTCAGGAATAGGGTTTGAAATAGAATTCAGGGCTTTACAAAGTGGACCAAAAACAAAGCCTTATTTTTTGCTTAGAAAACATGTAAATTGAAACAAACGACTGGGTCCGCCTCTTTGGAATAGAGGTCGTTTGGCTTCTTTTATTAGCCTGCAGAGCCCCATACCTGCCTACAGGGCTGGTTATCCTCCTGCAGCAGTGTGTCACTGTTAGCTTGTTGCAGGTATGATGCAGATGCTTTTGATTTATGCCCAATATTGAAGCGTGGTCTGCGTTTAAATGTTATACCACGCCACAACGCAAGACGGCCAATCAGGAACTAGCTAGGATTGTGGGTGTCAGGCCCAGGTCTATGAAAGGGGTGTCAAAAAAGACGCCAAGTGACTCCCATTCCAAAGGAGGGACCAGTTCATCCGTTTCTATTTGCATGTTTTCTAAACTAAAGCAAGGCTTTGTTGGGCTGCTGGATAAACTGGAACTAAATGCTATTTGTGACCTTTGATTTGGAAAAGCTTCCTGGATGGGAAGCAAGACGTCTTCAAACTTGGAAACAAAGTCCAGAGGATAGTTTTTTTTTTTTTTTTTACTAAAGCAGATTAGAAAATCTTTAGATCAGATGTGAAGTGTTAAAAAAAAAATCATACTAACCAATAAACCTGAAGGGTTCTGCAGAGCCTCTGTTAGACCATGAGGCTGTGAAGAGAACAGGTTCCTGCTCTGCCGTTTCCAGACATTTTCTGACCTTTTAAAGAAAGCGTGAAAGCAGCAGCGGTGGATGAGAACTAAAGCTTCCAGCGCAGCAGGAACAACATCAGGATCTAACACCAGCTCCAGCGACCCACAGGTTCTCCTCTCAGAGCATCCGTATCCACTACAAGAGGCTGAA